AGGATTTTTCTTTTGATGGCTTTCCCGAAGTCCCAACTGCACTCGCGGGACCTATAAAAACACGAGTATGTTACGGAAAGTTACTGCGAATCAGTGGCACCGTTCCTTTATATATATTTTTTTTCTTCTAACTCCTCCTTTCTTTACGCCCGTCATCCTGCGATGTCTTCCTCTACTTATTTCCTTTCGCCGATCCGAAATTTCAGTAATCTTATTATGATTCACGGATCCGGCAGAACTCCATAAATTCTGCTCATTCTCTCTTTCTCACACATCCTGAAATAGTTCCACCGATCAGGTCAGCTTTCTTCCACTGTGCAATTATTCTGACATTAACGGCAATCATGCATAATGGTGCGAAATGCCGCATCGATTTCATATTAAATTAGAATTATGTCTCGGATATTGATAATATTTTATTAATGCATTCACCGACACCATTTATCTTGCCTTCACCATCGCATTATGTTTACGACCACATCGGAATACTCTACTTTTTTTTTCTAATCTAATTATGTTGCGTTACATACACGCTGTGGAAGATCAAGAAAAACTGGATTGAGGAACGCAAACAACGGCTACGACAACAACAACACATTTCGAGAAGACTCATTTGGTATTTTACAAGGTGTAAACCTTAATGCAAGCTCCATTCGGGCTTTTTTATTGAAGCCGCGATCCTAACCATCGCAGATCCTATACATAAACTACCATGTCTACTAGTCTTACACGTAGCGTACCTTATTCCAGGTAATTTCGTTTCATCCTCGAACCGACACGTTTATTAGTAGCTAGACATTAACAACACATAAAAAGACACAAACATATCCAAAAGCCAAACTTACCTATAAAGTTTTTCTAAATTTAATTAACCTTTTGCACAGAATTTTCAAGATCGCCTTTTCAACTGCTTTCTGCCAAAGCTTTTAAAAAACTACTGACAAATTTGCAATCTTAATCTAATCTTATTTTTAACTTAAAATTTTACATTTATTGAATTTACTTACATTTTTTCTTTAATAGTTTTGATAAAATTATTACTAAATTTGACAACTAAATATGTAAAAATTACACAATTTTCTATAATATATCTATAATATAAATGAGTACATTTACTAACATTAGTTGAAGAAAGTTATTAAAATATTGAAACATGATTACAGTACTTTTAGAATATGGAATAAACAATGTTTTTTTTTTAATATTAAATAGGATGTTCATTAATTTTCTTTGTCTGTTTGGTATTAAAATATCAAAGGGGACCCCAATAAAAGAAAGACCTCGCCGCGAATAATGTATGAGTAATTACACTTTAGGTCAAGACTTTGTCAAACTCCTCGGGAGTGAACGGAATTATTGAGTCCTCTGAATTATTTACCATGATCAACGTGACGCACCGACGAGCAATTAAAATGCAATTACCAGAGCGTTTACGAGGAATAAAGTAACCGGAATTACTCGCGAATTTCCTTCTTCTCTCAGTTTATTTTTTTTTGTACTTTTTTTTTTATTCGCAAATCAGCAAGAGCAATTAGCTATGGGGAATCCCCTAAAGCGAGAACAAATTCTACCGCCGTTCCATCCATGTACGAAAGGGAGCAGGAATCAATTTCGTCGTCGAACGGGGTAAAAACCTAATTCCGCGCTGCGTTGAATAATTGAAACGGTAATAGAAAGAATATAACTCCATATGAAGTTCGATATGGCACAGCTCAACTGTGAATATTTGATAAGGCCCTACGACCGATTCAATAACATCTGCGGCAAACTTATTCCCATTTAAATTCACACTGAACTAATGCGTGCATAGACCACATCCTCAAGTCAGCAGGGAAACGAATCTGTTCAAGCCAAGTTACTAGAGAGTGGTTAACTAGCAAACATATGAAACTCGATGTAATCGATCCAAATTTCATTCCACGTAATTAAATGTAATCAACTGAACTAAGCATTAACTATGGTCGTTGCAATTCAATCAACAACTAATTCAATTCTATTTAATATGCGTTCGTTCCGCAAGGAATTACAACGGCATGCACCATAACTATCCTTAACTAGCCCAATCCTACTGTAACGTTGTAAACTTATCAAATCCTTCATTATTCCGGTAGAGAAGGATATTTGTGTCCTCCAAGAAGACGATGTCAATGCTCTAGAGGAGTCAAAGGTCAACCGTCGGAGAAGAAGCGTGGTGTTCTGAGGAGAGCAGAAAGTATTGAGTTCATCCTCTATAAATTTGAAATCTAAGTTATACTTTATACTATACTTTATACTATACATTATACTATACTTTATACTATACTTTATACTATACTTTATACTATACTTTATACTATACTTTATACTATACTTTATACTATACTTTATACTATAGCTTTAGGTTGCTATACTTAATGTAAACTAAGGTTTGTTCTACTTAGATCAGATTAAGTAAAGTTAATTCAGTTTAACCTAGTCAAAAAAGCATAAGATAATCTCTAGTTAAATGATACCGGCTCTTACTAGAGGGAAGAAGTAGGAGGAAATATAAAGAACCTCTAGTTCTTTATATTTGAGGGGTATCCAGGGGTTCCACGTTATCCAGGAATAAAAAAAAAAATTGTATATCCGCTTTATTTTATTTATTTTATTAAAATTGATGTATTTTCAAATATACTCGACAAATTGAATATTTGAATATCGTTTGTACAAATACAAGGATCATCAAACAAAAATAGATTTCCATTTTAATTGTGCCGAATCCATTTCATGTGCTTAAATTACCGCATTTTCGAAATTTGTATTATTGTCTGTATTTTGTTATACAAAAATCCGAAGCGTTGCAGCGAATATTATACATTTTGAGTGGTTATTGATTGGGCTATAAGTAAGCAGTAAACAGCAAAATCCAACATAAATTAATCCGAATAATCGCCGCTGTTCGGTGAAAATAATCCTGTGTTCGAACACATGGAGGCACATAGCTCCAACATTATCATGACTGCAAATGGGTTTTAGCGTACCGACAAAAAGGAATCTGCCCTCCGTGATTTCCTCTTCCCAGCTTCGGATAGGAAAGAATAAAAAAAAAATGAAAAGGATAAAACAAGGACTGCTGCAGGACTACACAAACAGCTATGAAAGTGGGCCGCAGGATAGGTTAAATTGCATTCCATATATTTGAGCTATGATCCTTTCAGGTGAGTCCAGCTAGGCCATCAGATTGATTGATCCTTTCAAGAGGATAGCAACTTGACAACTCTATATATATTTTTTTATTATTCATGGAAAGTTAATTAATTAGGGATAATAACTAATTAATAAAGCAATACATATTATCAAAACAACCGCATTATTTCATTCATTTGGAAATTAATGAAGGGAATATTCCCTTTGCTGAATTACGGACGTTCCCGAGTGACTCGGTTATTGTCGGGGAATAATATTGTTTTTTTTTGCTGTTGTTGTTGTTCGTGAATAATGATTAAAAAAAGGAAATAAATTGTGCCTCGGGAAGGGCTGGTTTGAGGATTTTATAGCGAATCGATCGCCAACAGAAGGGCCATAAAGCGAAATAGGAACATAATTACAACCTCCGTTAATAGCGAAGTAAACGCTGCACAAAAAAAAATGAAACAAACCAAAAAAAAAAAAGAAGCACATACACCGGGGCCAGGAAACAAAATGCACTATTACGCTGAAAATCTATTTACAAAATAGCTTTTCCGCTACAAGTACTTCCCATGTAATTTATATAATATTCCTGGGGCGTTCTTCGCGCCAGACCAATTCCGAATGTATCCTTAGGTTCTATTGGCGTTAATATATAATAGGCCCTTGGTAATACATATGGAAAGGCTTCTTCCCTTACTTTGTCACCTTATTTTGATTATATTTTTTTTTTCGTTATTTTGAATTATTCAGTCAAGCCCGTGTCAAACCCTTGACAAATAAGTGATAAGTTAGTCATTGTATCCATTGTTCCGCTGTCACTGGCGGCTGAATATATATTTGAAGAAGAAGAAAAAAAAGCAGAAATGTGTGTGTGCTTGGTGGTATTGATCGGCTGGACTCGACTTTAATTGACCGATCGGACTTCCCAAAAAGGAACAGAGGAAACTAACTAGTTAACCGTAACAAGGGCAGGTACTTGTCCATATCATTTATTCACTATTTGACGTAACTTCCTTGATTGCCCAATTTCTCAATTACTCCCTTTCAAAATTACACTGACACAGTTAAACCAATTAGTTGCAATTTGGAGACAACCTCATTAAAACTAAACACTTGTTTGTTATTTGCTCACAAACTAGAGGGTAACAGAATAAAAAAAAGATGATTACCCTAAAAATTTTGATTAAATCTTAAATTATTCAATACAATTTTAGCTTGCATTAAATATTCTGAAAAATAACTTCTTTTTCAAAAATAAAATTATGTAAGTTTTAATAAAAATATAAGATTTACTGTTTTTTTTTCATTGGTTTTTAAATATAAAAAATTAAGATATAAATAATTTACCTAAGCATTTTATAAAAAAAAAGGGTTTGTCCCTTTTGTAAGATTTGTACAAAAATATTATAATAAAATAACTTTACATATTTAAAGTGATGGAAGTGGATTATCTTATATAATAGGTAGGATTAAGATGTGTCTCTCATACATTGATAATTTTTTAAAGTTTGTAAATAAGATTTAAAAGATGATTAATAATCTAATATATTATAAAAGGATGAATATAAATGAGAACAAAATTTTGATATTTATAAGTTTGTCTTAAGTCCTGTTCATAAGTAGGATTAAGAATAATCCTTTATGTATTGATTTTATAAGGTTTGTAAATAATAGTTAGAATAATAGGAGTTGTATAATATGCTTTTACTAAGAATATAAATTAGATAAATAAAAATTAACAATTTACGTATCACAAAATGAAGCACGTGGAAATCTCCAGATCTTTTATACCACAAGTCCTCATCTATCCTATTTATTGAGAAGCAAAGAGAAGATTCGACGATGCGTTAATCTGTGGTGTTGTACTGGGGTGGAAGAAGGGCACTCTTGTACTTGATCTCAGTGACTTCGTCGTATCCATTGTCCGTAACTGGGGTCTCGGTAGTGGTTGTCGTAGAGATTTGCACCCCTGGCTGACCAGGCTTGACCAAAGCGAAACCATCGTTACCCATCCGCATGCAGTCGAAATGCAACACAAGAACCGGAGCCCTTTGTACACGCGTCTCAAAATCCAAGCACATATTCAAATTCTGCCCTGGTGTATGAATGTCGAACAATTTCGCGCAAAAATCCACGCTCGGAAGATAAGGGATCGGTACCGGAATGCACAATGGGGGTGGATTTTTTGCTGAAACAAAAACAACGATGACAAACAATAGCAAAACAAACGACAACAACAAAAAAAAATAACTGCAAAATATGTGTGTATCAAATACACACGTAACAGAATGTAATAGAAAACTGGACGGACTAAACAATAATAATCGCAAATGTAGCCACAGTGGATAAATTGAATTAATATTGTTTGCACAGAATAATTGGTATGTTTTCCTCCTGTCCAAATGATACGATTCCATCAAGTTATTTCATATTCATAAAGCTTTCGCCCGGAGGGTTGTGCGGGGGCGGCGGCAGCTAAATTAAAAATGGTAAATTTTAAAATGGACGTAGTTTCGGAACTAATTTAGCCACAGTGGCGGCAACAACAACAAACAAACAAACAAAAATTTATACGAGACAAGAAAAAAAAATACACAAAATATAAAACCGACTCGCGTGTTTGTGTCCAGCATACGTGTACTCACATGCAAAACAGGGATTCCTTCACCTCGTCCAAGCATTTACGTAAACCCAAACGGAAATAATATGTTGATTTAATACTAATACCACATTTTGCATTTTTTACATATTATCTATATTATTCTATACAAAATCGGTGGCAATCGCAAGCTCGACAACCGAAATACCGTCAATCAAATTCCCAACGTTCGAAATCCCGACAACAACAATCCCGATTGTATCAAAATCCCGACTATATCGATAATGTCTTCAATAACATACGCTCCGAAATAATTTAAAAATGTTATTGTAAAAAATTTCGATATAGTCGGGATTTTGATATTGTTGGGATTATGTTTGTCAAGATTCTGATACAGTCGGGATTATAGTTGTCGAGTTTTTGATATAATCGGGATTTCGAACGTTGGGATTTCGATACAGTCGGGATTGTCGGGCTTGCGATATAGACCCATACAAAATTACGTCTTTTCCTTGAGATTTAACGAATAGTTTAATGACTTTTTATTTTACAGTATTTAAATTGTATAAAATTAAAACATTTGGGACATTTTTCATTAGATTTAAGAAAAAATGTGTGACTGGAAATGGTATAGATTGGTAAACATTAATTTAGGAAATAATTTACTGTGGTTTCGTAGGTTTTAGATGAAGTGTAAAAAAAAATTAGAGACATACCTGATACACTGTTGCTGAAAACCTTGTTGGAATTCATAAACATATCCATGGAAATCGAGAAGTCGTACGGGTCGTATGTGAAATTCATGCAGCCTGCAAATGAAAACAAAAAGAAGTAGAAATAAATGAACGAAAAAAAAAAGGAAACACATACACAAAGGGCAAAAATTGCATTAAAATTTCATCAGCGCTAAAATTCATTCCCAGCTCTAATTATCGTCGCCCGGCATTTTATTTATGATAAAGCGTAGCAGCATCAAACGTTGACTAACTTAAACATAGCTCCACTATTCGATGTAACAATTGCTAAACTTCACATCAATCACTCTTAAATCTATTATAAATTACGAAAATTTAAATTTCCCGCTCTCGCATTTTTTTTTAGGTATGTATGTATGTATGTGCAAATTTGAGCTTTCTACGTGTAGAAATGTTTCGCAAGGTTTTCAGCATTCCATCGATTCGTAGAAATAATTAATAACCTTCGGCAAAAGGGGGGAAAAGTGTATTTGCTTAAGTTGAGCGATTGCAATTTGTCTTATGGCGAATTAAAAACTCCGACGGAGCGGATAATAACTGGAACTTATCGAAAGTTCCGAAAACATTTCAATTATTTACACAGTATTAATCACCACCCGCATTCCTGCCGTACAACTTCCATCCGACCCCCGCACCGACCGAAAATTGAACGTGCATTATGTAATTTGTGAGCTCGGGCAATACTGATCATTAATCTAGGATGGAAGCCGCGATGGAAATAGGGATGAAGGTCACGTTATCCACATTTACCACCGCTACCCGATACAATGACTATCTGGATTGAAGAAATTCATTATGGTTTTAAGGTCATTCATTATCAGCTATATCTCTACGTTTTCTCTACGTTTTACGTATCTACGCTCTACTTACATCCAAATTCTACATATAGTCAAGATGATATCAAACAATCATACATATATGATACAAAAAAGTCCTTATTGATTAGACTTGATAAAGTTTTACATCCTTAAAACAGAAGGGAAAAAGGAAGCAGAATAATTTATATGTATATCAATAATACATTCGAATCACGAACATATACATTACTATTCAAAGCATGAAGAAGAAAACAAATGAAACAATATAAATAAAAAAAGCGGAATAATCCATATCTTTTTTAATTAATTTAAATTGGTGCGTTGTGGAAGAGGGATAGAGGCTAGGTTGATTGATTGAGAGTGTTCCATTATGATATTGCCAGGTCTAAGACCGCGAAATCATACGCTGCCTTCCATTTGTACCATTTGGTATTAATGGGTGCAGCGTGGATGCCATAAATAACAGCGCTCGGAAGACCCAGCGCTCTGCCCCAGGGGATGCCGTGTCTGGCCCACTGATGCTCATTGTTTTAATGCACTTCTCTTCGTTTTTTTCTTTGTATACTTTACTCAAGCAACGTCAATGAATCACCAACAATTTTTAAATTAAATTAAGTATTTATATGTAAAGTAAATTTAGTATTTTGTGAGTTGTATGCATATTTCATTCATAATACCTGTTACATAACAAGTATAATATGTCCTTGTCCTAATGTTTTTTAATGAAGTAATTTGTTTTTTTTTTTAGATTTCAAACTATTTTTATATAGATATATTAAGAAATGTTGGTTGTAGATTGAATTTCTTTAGAAATGTTGGTTTTGAGGATCGAACAAGTATTGGATAGTGTGTATGTGTGTATGTATGTTTACCTTCTCTATTGAAATTGAACTGTTGAATGTTGATTCCAGTGCAGCATCCGCACGTTAAGTCCTGGCATGAGCAGCCGTTGCTTCTGTAGGCGACTCTCCGTGTTTGCAGCTGAGTTTTCGTGGCGATTCCCGATTGGTCAGCAAAGCGGTCTTCTGTTGAAGTTGTCCAGTCTTGAATGGAATCTATCCGCAACGGTAGCCGGGAACTTGGATCGTAGTATATAGACATAGTAGGCATGTCAGAATCTGAAACTCGATGTGACAATATAATGGATGTATCGAACCTTGCATAAGATCGAGTGATTTTCAGGCTGGAAGGCGCAGCGCCTATTTGTCTTCCACCCTCCAACCCCCCTCACGGAAAGCCGGCATTGCTACGCGTTCAATATACATTATCCTAATCTCGTAACAGAAGCTTAGATCTTTATAGCAAGAACCGACGGAGGAAGAACGCAACCACCCTCTTTACCAAACCCCTAAACCCCCTCGCGTTTCTTTTATTAATCGTTAAATATATCTGTCCGCAGATAACTTGCGTTACCTTATCTCGCGCTGCTCAAATCCTAGTTTCATTCACTCCCTTAACGATCTAATGCCCACAGAAAAAGAAACGATAAAAACGGACCGAGAAATCCATTAAATATAGCTCAGGACCATTGCCGCCTCCACCGCCTCCCTTTTTCCACGCACAAACACATTTTTATTAGCCGCCCTTAATTATTTGCCAGAACCACAAATTCGTCCATTCAAATCCCACATTTATAAATTCTCGCCATTCATTTTCTCCCGATATCAATAAAAACAAAATTCTACCCAGTTGCAAAAAAAAAACTCAAAGACAATTTATCGCTGTTATACTGAAAAGTTACGATTGAATTAAAATCCTTCGCGCAATGGATTTGATTTAAACGCTTTCGGTATTTATTTAATATTCCTTACCGTCCATCAAATTTCATTCATTTGATATCACCTTAAATACCCAATAACCATAATATAACTTACATCGAATGGTATAAAGTATTGGAGTAAAAGCTATAATTCTTGCACTAAACTCATATTAAAAACATGTCTTCTCAAAACCCGTCCGTATTAATAAGAATTAACTTTGTAAGTACAATATGTATTTAGAAGTAGTCTCAGTAAAACCTTTAAAGATGAACATAGTCTTATAAGAATAACAAATAAAGTTATGTAAAACCAAACGAATTTCAACAACTGAGATTCCACAACAACTGAAGAAGATATCCCACAGTGTCCAGAAAACCATCCCTGGGACACGACAAATTATTTCTGAAAGATTGATTAAATTGGTAACAGAAGACGAGATGAGACAAAAGGAAATTGCTGTTCATTACGGTTATTTTTCTTTTCACCGCCGCCTGCAACGCTTCTTATCATTAATTATATAATAGGCCCTAATCGAGTGGGTATTGTATTCATCTGAAATCCGTAGGGCGGAAGCATTGATCCACCGTAATCCGTCGGATCAACAAGTTCGTAAGTAATGAAATTTGCAATGTAAATGCCGGACACACCGTGTCTGAGCTAATCGGATTTTTTTTAATTGTCGTCGAGTCTCGAGTTGCAGATCGCTGTTGCAGTGTTAAATGGGTTACCAAGACGAAGAATAAATGGAAACTTAAAAAAAAAGATACAGATTTTCCTTGTCGACTGAAATGTGTTCGTCCTGTCACCGAGTTTGAGATAATCGTTCGATAGCCTGTTGCTTGACGTTTTAGCATTCCAAATAAAAATAAAGGACGAAAGCGCCGACCAAGAGCTCAGGGGGAATAAAAGTTTCGACGGGAGATGAGGATAAAAAATAGATGTATCCGCAGTAACATTTCATTCTTATACATTTTAAACGGCGACTTAAATGTAGTTGTCCATCTTTTTTTTTATTGTTGCTTGCTTCCTTCACTTCGTTTTAGTTCCGTAATCGATTGACTGATGCGGCGAAATTGGTTTTATTTCAACGGCGTTGCGTTTTCTCTCGGCTCGCGATGGAAAATTATTAATAGTAATCTCGGGGAAACGTGCGAACTTTTCCAGCCATGCATTGAACATGAGCTTATAATGTTGCTCTATGCAACACTATTTGCCTTATGAATTTACCATGCAAACCGCAGTCTCATTTACATGGCATAAAAGTCGGAACTGAACAAATCCCCAAATAGAATATTATAAATAACAATGTATACCTGCATACCTTCTACAGTTGGATAGTCCTGAATACGTACGCTAGTTATTAAATTTCATTGGACAATACAATTGCTAAAAATTATTCAGTATTTCCTCGCTTTAAAACAAGGTGACAGCTGATATTTTGCTGATGAATTAAATTTTAATTATTCAATGTTTGAAGTTATAGTAAAAGTTTTTTTAGAGAAAAAAGATATGTCAGTATATAGAGATGAGGAACGAGAAGAGTTTGGTTTTCTAATTAGGCACTTGATGCGATTGTCGGCTCGTGTAAACACACGACTGAGTTCATCCAATCTCGAAATGCCATTCCGGCAAAATCAAATTTATCGATTAACTGGAGGGATGGAAACGGATTTTTCCATACGCCGACATCTCTGAGCTCACGCATCCAAGAATCAAATTGCGAATTCATGTCGCACCCGAAGCCACCCTTATATTACACGCCGTTATTTTTATCTGTTTAATTCGGCGAACGCGTGGCTTTGTCCCGGCACGTCCAAAATAACGAAGAAGTAGAACAAAAATCAGAGGAAACCTGATTTAAACTCTTTGAAATAGTACAATTTTATCACGTTAAAATTGAGTAGTTTATAATGGTTTAAAACAGGACTCTTGACATGCGAGATTAGAGAACATGTGAGTAGACACGAGTAGACAGCAAAGGGGACTTTTCCTGGATATGAAGTGAAAAGAAAAATGAGAAAATATATATATATTGAGAGAGATGAGGATAGGGTAGGAACTTCTCTCCAAGTGTACTCCGGAGCCTAAAACTTTTGTAATAAATCACAGGAATAATATCCAAATGATAACTGGAGGTATCTCATCACGGGGCCATCCGAACAGTTTGCTATAAATCAGGCGATCTGCGTCGAAGGTGCTTACGTTGAATGCTTCCAGATTGTTCACTTTATTCCACGACCAAATGGACGAAGGAAATATTAAATAAATGAGAAGGACCAGAATGATAAATGAACGTTATCGATCGTGGATGGTTGTTGCTTCCTCTCGGATGACAAACACGCTCATCGCTAAATAAATTGGTCAATAATGTACGTCGTGTACAGTTACAATAACCAAAGTTGAGGTCAAGGATGTTTCGTTGAACATGGTCACTCCAGCAGCAAACACGACCAGCCACTGTGTTAGCTCCCCTTTTATTTATTATTTGTCTCCTTAAAACAAGTCAATATTTGTTAAAGGAAAGTAGCTTTACAAATACGCTTCTCTTCAACATCTCACGTACTCCACCCCCCTCATTAATTTAAAAAAATAAAATCCGAAAAGACAAAAGATCATTTACTAAAGACAATCCACATTTTTTAATTTGATGAGGTAATTTCAATAAAATAGAAAAATGTAAAGAGTCGTTTCCGCTTAATGGAAATAGGGACAAATATACAAATTTGTTTTGCTCGTAATGCGAGATTCCACTGTATTTCCTTTCCGATGATGTAGAATACAAAAATCGTTAATCGTTTGCTTTGTCGGTGCGAATTTGTTTTGTGGAGTAACAAAAAAAAATTTACGAAAGAGTTTATTTCCTTGTCGAGGGTCACTCGAATGCAAATCTCGGACGTGCCGAGCCCATTCAATCGATCCAATCAATTTCGACCAATTCCATTTGTTTAATCTGAAGGAATTTGTGCAAACACCACACGCTGTGCGAACGCCAATTGTTTGACCACTTAACCGAGCCACGTTCGATCCATAGCAAATGAAATCAAGTACTTCCGTCCGTTCATTATTGAAAAATAATAAACGAATTATCAATTCAAGAATATTTGTTTAACATCGAACAAAAACTTCAATTGTTATCATGAAATATTTGCATTTATATAAAATTTAATATTAAACATTTTCAAAAAGATAATAATATCTTTAGGAAAATTATATATCATAAAATATTTTGTTTTATATAATACTTAATTAATTTTTTTTTCTTATATTTTTATAGCTTATATAAAACAAAAAAAGTTTAAAATCAATTCATTAAAGCCTAATAATTAATTTATTTTTTTAATTTAGTAAATTTGAAGAAAATTATTTTAAATAGTGTTGTTATCCTAAGAAAATAATCTGTTGTAGATTCTAGTCTTATTGCTACAACCTTACTTAAACATTCCTTTGTGGAAATGGAAATATTTCATTACGTAAATGCTAGTAAATAAAACCTCAGTTATGAAACTTTTTCAAATTAAACATTTAATGAAAGCAGATGAATAAAGTCTGTCTGAGGAATCTCCTCTTTTCTTTACATTTATTTTATTGATATTTAAAATGTTGGTGAGTATTTACAAACGTGTATGGTTCAATTATTAAAATTGCCTACGCTCTTAAACAGATGAAGCCCGAAAATTACATAACAGCCGCTCGTTTTGGCGCCCATACAACTAATTACGTTCGTGATCGAAAGTTTGTGAATTGAAATTGTAGATAAAGAAATAGAGAAGGATTCAGATGTATATACAAAAATAAACAGAAGTAAATATAAAGTATTGCGGTATTGTTTGCTTTGCATAAATCATAAAATGTGCTAGATTTACTTACCGCCGGTTAATGGGGTGGCGGACGTCCGCTGTGGCAGGAGCAAAGCCTGGAAATAAATGGTTGATAAAACGCGTAAAGCCCACATTTGTTCCTGGTAACTGGGACGTATCGAAATATGGTTTTGATTTGGAATTGATTAATTACTAAAGGGGTGTTTGTGTGTATGTAGTTTTTTGTTGTTGTTGTAGGGTGTGTACGAGGGAGGAAAACGAATGGCGCGTATTATAACCGCGGACTGCGACTGACGTATCCTCAGGTGTTGAAGAGGAACAAGAACAAGAAGCGGAATACTATTTACATATCCCATTGCTCATTTTCCCATACCAGCGAAACCTGATTCCGAAATTCACAGTGTTTTGCTTTCTTTCTATTAACCTTTTCCATTTTTCTCTCTTCTCTTTTTTTTCTTCTTCTTCTTCCTCTTCTCTTTATTTATCCTCTCCTCTTGTACTACTACATGTTACGCGCGTGGCCTCCATCCCATGATGATGATCATGATGATGATGATGTTTGTCCGGCGCGCAGCATCAACATTTATTTGTTTGCTTTTAATTCAGCGTGGTCCGAGAGCCTTTCTCCTCAGGCCAATTCCGAACAACGCAACACATGTCTGCTTCCAGATATATAGGTATCTGTGTCAAATTCAAATAATTGCGACCCATCGAGACAAACAGCATTCGCTGGAACATCAACTTTCTAAAATATTTTTCTAATTTTTTAATTTTTCTAGAAATATGATTTATCATTTACTGGAAAGTTGTATAACATCCATGGACTACAAATACAAATAATTTCAACATCTATTTTACAGAATTTAAACATTTACTTACTGTATGAAGTATTTCAATTTCAGTTAAATTCATTAATTTAAAAAAATTGAGAATATAAAATTTAAGAAAACAAAATTTAATAGGTAAACTATTCAAGATTTGAAAACATTTTGATTGAATTTAAGAGTTTATACGAATAAAAATATTAAATTTGTAGAATTAAATTTATTGTAAATATATCAAGGACAAACTTTCTATAATAATAAGTATAAATTAATTTAGCTGAAAATGAAATTCATCAGGAAAATAAATAGTGATCAATATAAATTTCAGACTTTTTTAAATTTGATGAGAACGTCTTTGTTTGGTAAGACTTGGACATCGAAGGGTTTATTTCCGGTGGGTAACGGGACATTCCTAGCATCATCGTCGTAATCCTCATCGATCTGGTCCTCTTCATCTAAAGGTGACAGAGGTATACCTCCACCCTCCTCCGGCCCTATAACTGCGACTCCACTAGCACCTAACCTGATGCAGTCGAAGGACCATTCCATTACAGTGAAGTTTTCCCAATTCGCCTCCGCATCTATGCACATGTGAATGTTCCTCTTCGCGAAGTAGATGTTAGAGAACTCGACGCAGAACTGTATGAAACGGAACCTCGGCACTCTAACACACATCGGTGGCGGATTTTTCCCTGAAATTGATAAGTTTCAACAAAACTTCTATCTACGCCTTTTTTATTATTTCTAACGGAAACTTTCCCCGAGCATATGGCTTTCGAACCCTTCATCTCCGCTCTTTTGTTTGCACTAACGTAGTGCTTACAATAAGAATAGATCGTTAAGAGATTGGCAAAACAGATGTTTACTATTAAGATTGCCTCATTACACACCCAGCAAGTAATGTACAAGACAATTATACTCAATAGCTGCCTGATGCTGTTACACTTAATAAGTATCTCTCTTTCTTGAAGAAACTACAGCAAACGACCCAAATGTGTGCTTTCTTTTACGACTTTAACCTCAGAGTGTAATAGCGCAATCGTGACTCATTAAGTAACAACAGGTATTAAACGGGATAACAAAAACAACGAAAGTTTTCTTTTAGATGAAAATATTAAATCAAATTATTCACAAAATGTATGTGAATGAAAGGGTGGAATACTTCAAAAGCAGTACGTAATGCGACTCAATACTACTTAAAAGTTGGACGGACTCGAAGCGAATTCCTATTACACTCGATTTATTTATATATATATATATATGAAACTTTTTTATAAGAGCCACTTTTATTGCGTCTACGAAAAAAAATATACATGTTTGAATGCATTGTTGGACCATCAGAGGCGGATCGCATAAAAAAACGCGAACAAAGAACAGAAAAATAGCATTACCCACTGGGATCAAAGGTTATATAGACATATTTTTCAATAGAAAATTGATTATATTATATACATAATTAGGTATATGATTTTTATATACTTACATTATATAGTAGTAGAAGAAAGGGTTAGTAAAAGTAATATATTTTTATGTTTGTAATTTTTTTTAAATATTGAAACTGGAAGTTGGCTATAATTCTGTTGATATTGAAGTAGGTTAATATTTTTTTGGAATAAAATTAGAATTCGAAGTGGAAGCCCGGGGCTGGCAAAAATGGGAAAGGCTACGTGATTTATAAATAGAAGCCGGGGTCATAGTGCGCGCAAGAGAAGGAAAGGAAGAATGTTAAACGGAGGTAACTGAGACAGAGCGATAACAAGAAATGAAGTTATAGAGTGAAATAACATTGACCATAAAAGCGTAGTGTCCGTTTTTCGACAACAAAGCGGGGAATGATTGAGTTGTACGTGGAGGTGAATGCAGTTAGCTTACTTCTGTTAGCAGTATAACTGTACAAAGTGGAATTGGTGCTTTGGTGTATGCAGCTGAGACCTGCGCTGGGGCAATTCACCTGTGAACGTGTTCTTGTAGAGTATCCGCTCGTTCATCGACATCGAAGCGGTGAAGGCGAACTCGTCCGGATCGTACGTTATGTTCATGCAGGCCTTCTGCTTGAACCTCTCTAGAATCATCCCCGTGCAACAGCTGCATTGTCCTCCTTGGCAGGAGCAAGGAAGTCGTAGTCCTTGGAGCAACGGCCTCCTCGTTGTCGTAGCTATCTGATTCGCCGAGATTGCATTACCAGTTTCGATTTCACTTCCATTCCGAGTCGCGATTGTATCCTTTGCATATCCTGGAAATACGAAACAACAAAAGGATGGAAAAGAAGAAAGTACTCGACAACAAGTTAGGAACTAAAAAAAGTAAATAAGGGTGGGTGGATGTATGGATTCCTGCTCGGGGGGGACGGCGAGGAATGGACGGAGACGTCGGCTGGCGGAATATTAACATTTAAATAGCACATTTTCGCTCCGCATTTCAAATTACAAAACTACAAAAGGCTATCCCCATGTGTTCCTAGTTGTTGTTGTATTCATCAAAACTCAACGCACTACATTTACATCTTTATTGCTAACTTACCTTCGTGTATCACCAGGCAGCACAACACCAAAACAGACACAATACGACCATTCATTGCCAAGCCTTCTGTACGAAATGATAAGTCAAGCAGCCACGGAGATCTCCACGTTGTACCACTTTCCGGTAGCAGTGATTAACGGTAAAAAGTAGCTCAGGACTGCCCCCTCATTTCCGATGCAAATCAAACAATTAGTATATTATTATTAAAATACGAAAAAGAGTATTTCTACTTTATTGAGCCATGTTATTTACATTCATAAAAGAAACGAAGAGACAGCTTTTGATATTTTTGTTACATTACAATTATCCTGGGAATAAATAATTAAATAAATAAATACGGTATAAATAAATAAATAATTTAGTCTTCTTCTCGGTGATTACCAGTGCAATCTTCCGAGCCACATGTCTCTGCTCTGTCTGAATTTTCCGCCGTTTCTCTTCGATTGATGCTGCTTGGCTTTTCTAGTCTCGAAGTCAACATCATCATCATCATCGTCCTCTTCATCGTCATCATCATCATCGTCATCAGCGCTTTCGTTCTTTGTTCCCTCATCGCTCTCCGCACCAGTAAAAGTATCAACTACTCCATCAATGATATCAGTGAATACGTCTTTCTTTTCAGTTTTCTTCTTCTCTTCTTTCTCCACTTTAGATACTGGAGTAGTGCTCTTAGTCTCCTCTTCATCATCATCGTCATCATCGATTTCATCGCTGATCACATCACCGACAACGTCTGTGATTGGATCGGAATCCTCATCGCTCTCAACAGTCTCATCGTTTTTGATGATGTAGTTCTCAGAAGCCGCAACTTCCTCATCTTCCTCCTCATCCTCATCTTCTTCGAAATCCATTTGAGTGGTTGCCATGGAGGTTGTTGTCTCAGACGCTTCAGTGACTTCTTCCTTCATAGTCTCTTGGGTCACAGCTTGCTCTGTAGTGGTGAATTCACTTTGTTTTTCAGTTGGCATCGGATCACTGGCCGGCATGACAGTTGGCTCTGGAGCCGAGGCTGTAGGTTTCAAATCAGCTTGAGGCATACCTTCTCCAGGGATGTTCTGTAACATAGCTGTCACCGCGGCAATCGATTCGTGCGGCGTTGATGGCACTACTACTCCTTCTGAGAGTTTCACATCAGATACGTTTTCCGAAGAAACGATTGTAGCGGAAGTAATCAATTGCATGATCGCTGCGGTTGTTGTTGCTTGAGTAGTTGTACTTGTTGCAATTGGAGTAGTTGTCTTCTGTGGTTTCTTAGTCTTCTTCAACTTCTGCTTCTTAATGGGCTTAACGGTGGAAGTGACCACTGCTGCTTTTTTAGTAGTCGGGATGGGCGTAGTAGATGCTACAGTTTTCTTAGTAACAGTCCTTAATGGCTTCCTGGTGATTTTCTTAACTGGTGGTTTTACGGTAGTAGTAGTACTAGCCTTTTTCTTCTTGGTTCCAGATTCAGAAGGTACGAAGAAGCTATCGATAAAATCATCGTCGAACACACTGAAAGTGCCGTAATCCACGGAATCCACGTCGTTATCAGCGTCATCATCTTCAGTTTCTTCTTCATCCTCATCATCATCATCGTCTTCAATATCATCGACATCATCGAAATCGAACTCATCATCATCATCGTCATCATCATCATCGTCCTCATCATCTTCAGTATTCTCTGCTTGTACAACAGGCAAAGGCTGTGGAGGTTCAACTTTAAGTCCTTTAGGTCCGAAACGGAAACAGGACACGCGAAGGGCGGCCTCTACGTCCTGGACTGCCCTAAGCTCAAGTCCAAGGCAGGCATTAAAGTCCTCTCCCTGGCGGCCGATATTGTAGACGCGTCCGCAGAACTTCGATACACCTCCAGGTAAAGGCATGCAAACGGGCTTCGGTTTTTTGCCTACAAGTTACAGTATAAATTAGATGCGTTATGTGAACGGCTTTCGTGGCTTACCATCGATCGTGGTGTTAGTAAGGACGCGATCCCCGAAGCTCATGGAGATTGCCAGACGGTCGCCTCGAAGGTATTGCAAAGACGCGCATCCTGGTCCTTGCAAAGCCATCACGGGAATATTAAAGTCCCTGCAGCAGTTGCATAGTTTAGCAGAGCAGCTGCAATACTTGTTTGGTGAATCTTGCTGTCTGTTCTTATGAGCCACATGATGGTGATGATGTTGTTTCCTCAACGCTCTTCCATAAGACTCCTCCTTAGGATCTACAAAACGCAAAGTTTAATTACAAGGATTAATACACGCTGTAGCTTCAATAATACCTATAACCCTCGATGCTGCAAAAGCAACCAACACGAAGATGAGCAAAAACTCAAAGACGAGCGACAGTCGCATCTTGATTTCCGTTAGAGTACTGAAAATATAAAAAAAAAATTGATTCATTCAAATTTTTAACAATCTTAATTTAAAAATTAAATACACCGTAGAGTAAAAATTATCAAGAAAGAATTATTCAAAACACGAAAGTATGTTAATCTGTAACGTAAGTAAAACTATTTGTTCAAGTAATTCTAGCAATAGAATAAAATACCTTTAATTCTATTACTGTTTAGATCTAATAAAATGAAGTATGTTTCAATTAATGTTTACAACTGTGCAAATTTCTGCTGCGAATGTAATAAAAATTTCTTTAACTTCCGGTGGAGAATGGAGCGAATATGGAAAGAAAGGTGTCTTCAACGGTACTTGCGGACATGCACTTTAATAACAATGCATAGAAACACCATCAAGCGGTGATTTTAAGCGGAAAGAATAAATTTCTTAAAAGGATAGTTTTAGTATTATAAACGGATTGAATGAATGTTTTAAATGAATAAAATTAATGAACTTGTGATGAATTTTAAAATAGACGAAACAAAAAAAAAACTATCGAATTACTAATGTTATTACTGTTAATTGAAATCAATTCGATACGCTCATAATCAAAGAGACTAATTAATAATATTAATTAATATAACTAATTGGAAATGGAGAGATCGAATGAACAAAATACGCGTAAACCGATTATGAATTGGTAATACACATCGTTGTAATTACAAAGGAAGTAAATTGAAAATTTTGAAAAAAAAAACAACTACAAAAACGCTATCAACACAAATTAATGAATTTGAAAATCGTAAATCACTAAAAGTTTTAATTAATTGTAAAGGTTAAAATAAACGCACGATTGTTGAATGTTTTGTTACGAATTGGTTTGAGGATTGGTGAAGTTGTTATGCACTTGGATGCACTTAGGTGTAAACACAGAGCGCGGATATAAGTAATGGGCTAATTATTGATTGTCCATTATTATATGAGGTATATACGATAATGAAATTGCCATGCGATTGAACTTACCTAACAGTTTGATTGAATGGTAAGGAATAAAAAAAACAACAATGCGTTCGTAATCCACGCTTGCGAGAACTATTACTGCTTAACCGGTCCGGTTTGTCTGAGGAAGAACTCTTCGTGCCCACTCTTCTTCTGAGCGGAAAGGGGGGTCTCCGAACCGAATGTCGGTCACAGCCAGTTAGGTCATCGACGGCCTTCCGGCTCATGGAAAGCGTTTCTTCCTCCACCTCCTCCTCCTCCACTTCACTTCGCTCAACCATCTTCGCACTTCACTTCACCACTCTGAAATTCAAAAAGAAAACCCATCGAAACTGATTATTTAATTAACTGTAAAGACAATTAAGTGAAGGAAATAGGACGAGACAGTGCAAATAATTCTATGATTCTGCACTCCTCTCATCCTCAATTCACAACCATTCTATTATCATACAAAATCTCGATTCACAAATAGTTTTTCCACACACAATTCAATTAAAATTCAATAAAAATTAATTTTATTAATATTTTCAAAAAAAAAAATATAAATTAACTATTAATTTCATAAATTTACAATTAACAAAAAATAATTAGAAAGTCTTTATATTTGATAGAACCTTGAACTTGAAATGAAAAGATTAAGACCCTCGTATTTTTTCTCGAACAAACAGGATTCAGAGATAAGACTCAAATTTCTCTACTAGACAGTAATTTTTTTCTGTGTGAAGGTTAAAAACATTCATGTGTATCAAGGCCTACCAGATATTCGAACTTGTTTCTCTAAAAGAAATAAAAAAAGACTATACTTTCTCTTGATGCAGCAGTTTATTATTCCCAAAAGAAAACGAAGAGATTTTTTTAACATAAATATAGAATTTTTTGTATTGTCATATTAATATTACATGATTAAAGTTCAGTTTTAAGCTAAAGTAATTATTATAATAATATTAGGAAAAACTACACTTTTTATTTCATTAAATTAATTATTTTAATTGTAAATTCATTAAAAAAAACGATGATTTTTAAATTAGTAATTATAAAATGAAATACTGTAGTAAATATACAATTTCCCAAAACAATTAAGAGAAATTAATTAGATTAATTATTTTTAATTTTACAAAAAATAAATAGGAAAAATAATCATTTTTGTAAATTTTATTACTAATTATATAAAAGTAACTTTGGTATAAAAATAGACAAAAAAATGGAAATTATTAAAATGAATGTGAAATCATAGCAATTATTAATAATTTCGATTAATATAAAAAAAATATGAATGAAAAGTTAATTAAGAGATACAAAATTTTGATTTTTTTTGTAATATAAATAAGGATGACAAAAATAAATATAGTTAAGCATTTGTTTTATTATACATTTTTGTAAATTATTTGTGTATGAAGAAGTGAATTTGTAATAAAATTAAAATAATGTTTATTACTGTATAATAAATATTTGTTGGGTAAAAAAAATTACTGAATATATGTAAAGATAAATATGTCCACATTTATTTTCCGGGTAAGAAAGGGAAACGTAGGAAAGTTTCTTTCTCCATCTATTTATGCATTTCTTTTCCAGCGTTTTCCATCCATCCTCCTTCAACCATGATTGCTGGAAACTTTTTCTACGTGGTTCCACTCTTCGTGTGTTGCATGTATGTATGGATGTATGTATGCATATATGTATGTGTGTCCTTAGTAAGGTAGGTATGAGGATGCATGCGTTTGAGTGAGTGAGTGCAGGAATTGTGTTTTCATTTTCACAAGTACCGGTTAAGACGAGGCATACGAACACGTTACGGGGGAAATGTAACGCGCGTTACGAGTCCAACAACTGTAGAGGTAGAAGTGGGTGACCCAGTGACCTCCATAGCGGCCAAGGACCGAAGGAGCTTCGGAGATGGCCGTGTCCAGAATACCTGAGTGCCGGGATGAGGAGGCTCTGTGGCTCCGAGACTGTGTACTCTCCTCATCATTTGATACTGACCACCTCAAAACGAAGCCGAGCCATGCAACCGAACGCGTGCATCTTCCTCTTAGCGGTTGGACTCGGTCTGGCCTCGGCAGCTAATATTCTTGGTAAGTCATCATCATCTTCACTTGATTTACATAAAAATGTTAATTCCTATATACCGGACGACAGCTTTCTTATTCCATACACAAATATCCATCAAGAGAAAAATATATTCAGCTTTCCTTAATTGTTTTTATCAACAACCTCTAAACCCATTACAAATCAACTAAATCTCAACACTTATATAAACACTTATACATTCATCCACTGGGTCTATATCGCAAGCCCGACAACCGAAAGACCATCTATTTAAATCCCGACGTTCGAAATCCCGACTACCATAAAAATGTTATTGTAGAAATTTATAATAATAAAAGACACTGTCGGGATTTCGATAAAGTCAGGATTTCGATATAGTCGGGATTTCGTTATAGTTGGGATTTTGATTGTCGGGATTATGGTAGTCGGTATTTCGATAGACGGGATTTCGGTTGTCGGGCTTGCGATTGCCACCGTCATCCACTATTATTACTAGTAAAAATAACAGTTTTTCAGAAGTGTCAACAATTCTTTACTGTAAATCCTAATTATTACGTGGAACATTATTTACATATTTATGCACGAATAACCGAAAATACAACACAAATACTAATATTTTCATTATTCATTCGTTAATTTTATAATTACCGCAATAAAAAGAAAAATAAAGCAGATTTAGTTTGAAGAAAAAATACATTTACAAAAATTTGATTACAATAAAATCAATACAAATAAATAAATCAAAAGTTTTTTTTCTATATAAATATTTTTGAGACTAATTATTTTTTATTTGCATAATAAAAACAAAAGTTTATGTATAAAACCTCTATGTTTTAGGAATTAATTACTAAAACAGTTATATTTTTATTGAATAATTAAATATGAAATGAACAGACATTTCCAATTGTCTTTGATCAAATATTTTACAAAAAAACAAATTAGAAACTCTTTTATTTTGAAATAAATGTATGCATTTGAATATTTATATGTATTTCTGCATGAATAATCAAAATAAAAATAGAGGACAAATGGAACTAATAAAAAAAAATTACATCAACATTTTTATATACAAAGAAAAATTTATACAGTTTTTAATATTTCTACATGAATAACCGAAAAACAAATAGAAAACAATGCAAATATTTAATTAAATCGTAGTAATTTATAAATGAAACTGTTATTTATAAAAATGTATAATAAAAATATATGAAATTTTACGAAATGCCACGGAAATGGTCCATTAAGATCAGCGAACCGTTGGTTCAGCCTCGATCTTCAAAACGCAAACAGATTGCATCGAGCAACAGTACTGTAACCTCGATATAAAAAAAATACCTCAATACTTCAGATAGAAATTTAATGAGTAAAATTAAGCCTCGGATTGATGTGTAATTTGCCGGAATTCAATATAATCGTCAATAATTCGTACAGTTATATACACTTTATATTTATAATCGCAAGCCCAACAACCGAAAGACCGTCTATTGAAATCCCGACTACCATAATCTCGACAATCAAAATCTCGACTATATCGAAATCCCGATTACCATAAAAATGTTATTGTAGAAATGTATAATAATAAAAGACACTGTCGGGATTTCCATATAGTCGGAAGACACGTCGGGATTTCGATAGATGGGATTTCGGTTGTCGGTTGAGTATTATTACGTAAATTGAAGCTTTAGTAGAAATTATATTGAAAGCTTGATATACTTTTATATAAATATTAGAGGAAATTATGGGAATGCATCAAAGTATATATTTTTTTACGTTGAGTATAAAAAAAATGCGAACTTACACTCCAGTGAGACAGAACTAAACGGTTATGCAAGGGTAAAGCATTTTATAAAATGAAAAATATATACACAGTGATCATTGTGCAACACAAATTTTTATTGGATTTCTAATTTTACAAATATTATTTTTACTAATTTTTATTAATAACAACAGTAGATGTTTGTTATGTAATCTACAAATCCAATTTTCTTGTCCGTAATGAAAGTACCCGAATTTGAGTGTTATTATTAGAAAGATTTTGTTTGGCGTCGGCGAAACATGAGAAGACAATGAGAAAAAAACAAATAAGAATAAATGAACGGCAGTTAAGGCGTAATTTTATTTGCGAAGAACAAAAAGACATTCGTAAGGTAATTCCATTTACGAATGTAAACTTTTCTAAAGGCGAGTCCATAAACTGTGGCGGCAAGAAAATAAAGAAACAAAATAGAAACAATAAAAGAGGAAAAAACGCACATGGCGGAACATAACGAGAGGAAAAAGTTGTAGCTGGAAACACCTCAAAGCAGTACCTTAACATTCTTAATATACACCCGATAGATAGACTTTTTCTTTGCAGCCCTCTTCTTGTTATACACGTGTTTTTTTTTATATATATGTTTTTCGGTTTTATTTCCGCCTCGTCGTCGTCCTCTTGTGCTCAGCCAGTTGATTGCATTTTTATGATAATCCCGTCCTCGAATTGGAGAAACAAACTTCGACTATTTTAGATTCAGCTTACGTGAAAAACCGAACTAAATTTCTCTATCCTAACGCTCGCCTGAAATAGTTAATTACTTTCTATTGGTTACTCGATTGTTCTACAAAAACGAAGTACATGCCGAAACACGTACACATATTAATTACCTAACCACATTAATGAAAGCTAACTTTATTAGATTTCACAAAAATGAACTTTCTTTTTAAAAACAAAAATAAAAATATTGAAATTTTTCAAATGTAAAAAAAAAAATTATATAAAAATTCAATACAACAGATATTCTAAACCCGACAACCGAAATCTCGTCTATCGAAATCCCGACATTGTCTTTTATTATTATACATTTCTACAATAACATTTTTATGGTAGTCGGGATTTCGATATAGTCGGGATTATGGTAGTTGGGATTTAGATATAGTCGGGATTATGGTAGTCCGGATTTCGATATAGTCGGTATTATGGTAGTTGGGATTTCGATATAGTCGGGATTTTGATTGTCGGGATTTCAAGCATCGGGATTTTATTACAGTTGGGATTTTGAACGTCAGGATTTCGAGCTTGCGATATTGACCCATTATAAATAGTGGTAAATTTAACTCGAAATCATTATGAAGCATCGAGCTAAACAATATCAAGTTTATCAAACGAAAATATTGAATTTCAAATACGCTATGTGAATTGTACGTTATTAAAAAGAACGTTTTGGAAACGCGAAATTCCGCAAACTAACAACGGTATTTTTTCGCAGCATTAAAGTATATATATATATAGATACACGTACATATAACACCAAACATGAAACTACAAAAGTGGTTTGCAAGTAGCGTTTTTTTTTGTATTGTTATTTTTTTTGTACGAAAACGTGGGGCTAATAATGATGGACTGTGTACTGAAACCCAATGCAGAGTGTTCAAAATGCGAACGTCGTTTGACTATATTTTAATTACCTGAAATACCTAACAAAAGCGTTTTCCACTTACATAGACATTGCGTCTATCAAACTGAATATTATTCTATTATTATTATTTTCCCATTCTCTTCGTAATTCTTTCTCTGCGCGTTGCTCGTAATTATAATTTATTTCCAGGACCGAGCGAATTGTGCACGTGAATTTATAAATTAATTGAATCACTGGAACGTATAATTATTTCAACTGTCATTAACGACAAGGAAAAAAAATTAATGCTAATAATATGCACAATTCTGTTTTTATTAATATTGAATATTTAACTGTTCGTTTTGTATTAATTATAAAAAAATAATTATATTTATTCACTCGTATTTCAATATATATTTTACAATAATATTTTAACAAATATTCCACAAATAATTGCAAATTAAATTTTCTAAATGAAAAATAGTAATATAAGTTAATTATGTAATTAGATTAATTTATGGAGGAAGTAGATATCGTTTGCATAAATCGGATAACCTGCTTTCTAGTTGAAGGTTAATAGCTCTCGATTTCTTTTTAATTTTTGAATGCGGAGACGTTTCGGGAAATTTCTGCGATCTCGATTTAACGAAAACAACAATAGACTGACCCAATTAGACGTAGAAATCCAAGCGCAGCAGCATCGTTCGGAATGCAAATGCGGCAATACAAGTTGCGACTTAGTTGAAATTGAGGATAGGATAAGGTATTCGGTGTTTGCAGATTTGCTGTATTGGGATTCGGCGGATGGCAGGAATGTGGAGAAACGGGATGAGAACATCGAGAGCAGCGGAGAGAAGACGTGCCACTGCGTAGGTCCGGCATGCATGTGCTGCGTCGACTTCAACATTACCTTCGTGGATCTAGGAGGTCCAGGTATGCGATGAACGTAGCTTTGCTTTCATTTGCTTTGCTAATGTTTTGTTTTTGTTGTTGATTAGGTTGCGTGCACATGAAATACCTGTCGCAGGATGAGGGTCTAAGGGTGAACGTATCTTATGGGAAAAGCTTGTTGCACAGCGAGCAGGTGAAAGGGCCCAAGCCGGAGCCGACGTGCATGTCGCTCCTTGCGAATTTGGCGGAAGTGTGCGCCCGATTTTCCAGCCTCGAACCGCACAATGATGGATTGAAGGGCTGCCTCCAATTAGAGCCGAAACTTTTGGGTGATATACAGACCCAATTTAACATTGGTTGCTTCACTATGGGGCCGACCGGTATGAAGCTTGACGAGGCGGCCGACCAGCCCATCAATAACGATAAAACCAATACGACCCTGTAAATATTAACGATCCTGCCTTCGGCTAACCAGCCGTGTCTACCTATACTATAGTACTTTTCCTTGTTCGTAGGAATGGCCTCAGCGAGGAGGAGATCATCGAGGCTGTGAACCAGTCCGCACAACAAGGGCTCGCCTTCTTCGGGAACTTATTTGGTTTGGCCTTCGGCAAGCAGGAAGCGAATGCGACCCAAACTACGGAAGACGATCAAACTTCGGCTTAGTTTAAAATTCATATGGAACACTAGTTAGGACGCACCACCATTCTCATCCACTTAACCACAGGGTATCATCATCCAAATCTCCTATTTATTTATTTATTCATGCGTTATTTATTTGCTAATGCGTTCACAATCTATTATTCACATTTTAATTTAGCCCACAAGGCTTCGGAGTTGGCTGCTACAGCACTTTCTCAAACATACAAGAAAATACTATGACTAATATTAGAAATGTAACTACTTTCATGTACCAAATATTTATACAACAATAAATATTATATTTATATATTAAACCTTACCCACATTTTAGTAAAAACAACAAAAAATAAAGTAAAGTTACCAAAGTCCAAAAAGACACATATTTCATAGCAAAATGTGTTAAGTTATATAAACTTAATAATTTAACTACTGCCAATAAGATTATTCTAAGACTAAGAATTTTAGTAATGACATAAAATTGCGACCCTCCGAAATATTTTACGCGATCCACACTTTGAGAAACACTGTTTCATTTAGATCCGACGAGATTTCACGTTTTTTCTTAATTACACGAAAATTACGTAACAGGGAATAGACGTTTTACCAATTTTTTTTTCAAAGGTTTCAAAATTAAAATGCCTTATTTTAATGTAATTTCAATACTTTATGCATTTTTCAAGTTAAACAAATATATATCTCTACGTACTTTATGATCCAAGATTAGGAAAGAGATTTTTATTAAATTTAGTAAGTTGGACATATGCAACCAAGTTGACATCAGATTATTTTTTTAAATTGCTTTTGGTCGTTAAGATCCGACGAACTTTCAAGTTTTTCTTAGTTACACGAAAATTACGTAAATTTTGTTGCATTTCATGATTGTGTAAGATGACTTTTTATTAAACAAAAGCAATAAGTTTCGATGGATACAAACAGAACAATTGGAGATGAATAACGATGCGTTCTTGATCGTCTGTTGCGGTATATTTTATAAATTGAACAAATTGTTAATAATTTTTAACCAAAGAAATTTAATATTTTAATTAGGTATTATTGATTAGGTGTAATTGAGAAATATAATAAGTAACTCTTGATATCCGAGATCTGTTCGTTGAAAAATTGTGGATGTTATGTAATGAAGAAAGCAGAGAGAAAAACGCGAAAAAACATGGAAATTATGAAATTAGTTGTTAAAGTTTAATAAGAATATATTTCATTAGTATATATGATTGTTTGTATTCATATTTGTACAGCATATATTATCAATTACAAAGCTCTTGATTATTAACCTAACGGGGATGGAGCTATGATGTTTGTGTGTTATTTATTTAACATATAATTAAATAGAAATAAAGATAATTTTTGTGAAATTTTTTATATAAAGGTACCATTCTCATAATATATTTACTACAATGATTGATTATAGCAGAAATCGGCAGACCGACATTCAAAGAGAATCATTATTCCTATTGCATCAATTGTAAAATTTCAGAATATTGTGGGGCTATTTTCCAGTAGGTTAGGTGATAGGTTAATAATTTGGATTGAGAATTAAATTAAAATGCTTGATTTTGATAATTTATAGTAGATGTACTGATCAAACCACAATGCCAGCAGATAGCTCATTAGAAAGGTTGAATTTTTGTCTTTAATTTGCGTATTCGATTGTTTAATTATCACGAGTGGTAATCGATTAATTTAAGGAAACGTGAAGGAGTTGTAGCAAATTGAAAAAAGAGTTAAATAAATGGTTATATTCATATATATTAGAAAATATGAATTTACTGTTTTAAAGAATAATTCTTTCGCTTTCGTTTGCAAAGTTATTAAGCTTTAATGTGTCCGCGGTTTTCGCGAATCGCAACTCAAGTCCCCCCCCCATATTGGTCAATTAATAAGAAAGTTATTAAGCTTTAATGAGTTGGCGGTTTTCGCGAATCAAAACTAAGTATTAATTTTGGTCAATTAATAAGAAAGTTATTAAGCTTTAATGCGTTGCGGTTTTCGCGAATCGCAAATCCCTCCCCCTCAAAATACATTAAGTTTTGGTCAATTAATAAGAAAGTTATTAAGCTTTAATGAGTTGGCGGTTTTCGCGAATCAAATTGAATATTGAATATTATTAATAAAATTGGCGGTTTTCGCGAATCAAAACGCAAGTCCCCCCATTGATTCTCGAAAATGGGAGAAAATTGGGATTTCTACCAGGAGACTAAGAGTGTGAGGAGGTATCTGAGCTTCTAGCATCGGTCGATCCTGATTGGTTAAAATTTGAATTTTTGAATTTTACGTTTGTGCGAGGAGGTATCTGAATTCCTAACAACGGTCTTAGCAACGTAATAACTTACGTTTTTGAGAGTGAGCGAAGCATCGCTCGTTCCTGATTGGTTGTAATTTGAAATTTTGAATTTTACGTTTGTGTGAGTGAGCGAACTGTCATTGTTACAGCTGTCACACTGACAAATTTGAATTTTTGAATTTTACGTTTGTGTGAGTGAGCGAACTGTCATTGTTACAGCTGTCACACTGACAGCTACTGATGCAAGTTAAATTCATTGTATTTCCTCTTTATTCTACATTGTTCTTAATGCAAACTTAATGAACAACATGCTCCATTGCTTCCTTCTTCTATTTCTTTGGATGGAAAACCTTTCTCTGTACACACATTTAATGGGCAAGTACTAGTGGAACATGTCAACAACCATTGATCATAAAGTTCTTTGTCTTCAGAAAACATACAACAGAAACTGCAGCTAAGTAGGGACAATTCTTCAAATCTTTTACTTAGAACAGTGTCTTCATATAAGAATGCATTAATTGTTAATACTCATGAAGTAAGTAGTCAACAATCATCGATACAATTATTATTATTTTAGGTGGAGCTGATAGCAACATGCCTCTGAATGTATAGTTGATGACCTCAAGTTCCCCAGAAAGGTGCATCATTGGTAAATTTAAGTTATTATTTTAGGTTGAAGCTGATAGCAACTAAAGCTCATGTATAGTTGAGACTAAGTTCCCCAGAAATGATATTAGCATTTTAGTGACGATAGCATCATGCCTCTAATGTATAGTTGAGACCTTTCAACATGTCCCCAGAAAGTGGAAAAGCATTCTTTACTAGCAGTTTTCATTTGCAAACAGTGGAAATCTTAACTGCTGAATGTAACCATAAATATTACTTCATTAAGGAGATGGATAACAACTATGAACCCTATAGCACCCATGATTCTATTACTTCCTACATGATCCTTAGAGACTGGCTAAAAGTATTTTATATAACTATCAATCTATATTTTCATTTATTTTAATCTCTGTATATTTTAGACACCATTGCAGCTACAAATTAACATTAGCGCTCATTTTAATCCGTGTGTATTCAAGAACAACTTCCATTTGTAAAATTCTTCTGGGAGCTCATGGTTACGAAAATACAGGCCATTTTCGAAGACGGTGTTTTACCAATTCTAATACCAAAGTTTGATAATTAATTGTGCCGACACTATTGAAGATACATGCCTGTATTTATACTCATTTTAATTTATCTATATTCAAGATCATTAATGTCCAAAACTCTTCTGAGAGTTGGTGTATACGAAAATACAGGACATTTTCGAGGACGCTATTTTCCCAACTCATTTGTGAAATACCAAAGTTTGTTAATCAATTACTACGATACCATTGCAGCTACAAATTAACATTTACATTCATTTTAATAGGTGTGTATTCAAGATCAACATAAATTTATAAAATTCTTCTGGTAGCTCAAGTTTACGAAAATAAAGGCCATTATCTAAGTCGTTGTTTTCCTAATTGTTCAGCAAATTGTATTTGTATGTTTGGTTGCCTGTACTTTAGGCGCGTAATATATTTTCCCTTTTTGTGACAGCTGGCGCCATCTGTTAGTAATATAACAAAGGTTGTAGTTCAGGCATTTTGGCGCTGCACAAAATCCACTTCCTTAGAAACGTGCTAATTTTAATAAACAAATATATCAAAATAGTGTTTGAATGAATCTTATGTTATTACTTCAATATAATAATTTAAATGCTTATTACTTTTTGAGTTTTATGCGATTGAATTTACAGAAGCAGACACATCTTTCGGAATATTCAGGAAACAGTCTGCAACCAAACATACACATAAATTTTGAAAACAAATACAAAATAAATACTTGGATAATGATCTGTATTTTCGTAAAATTGAGCTCCCAGAAGAATTTTATAAGTGGATCTTGATCTTGAATATACACAGATTAAAATAAGCAAAAATGTTAATTTGTAGCTGCAATAGTGTCCTCCTAAATGATTAACAAACTTCGGTATTTCACAAATGAGTGGGAAAATAACGTATTCAAAAATGGCATGTATTTTCATAAACATGAGCTCCCAGAAGAATGTTAGAATTAAATGTTGATATTTAATATACCTAGATTGAAATGAGCATAAATGTAAGATTATAACTGTTATAGAGTCTTCATAATTAATTAACAAACATTGGCATTTCATAAATGACATCTGGCAAAATAGCGTCTTCGAAAATGGTCTGTATTTTTGCCAAAATTAGCTCCCAGAAGAATTTTAGAAATAAATGTTGATCTTGAATATACGTAGATTCAAATGAGCGTAAATATAAGATTATATCTGCTAAGCACAGACATCTTTCGGAATATTCAGGAAACAGTCTGCAACCAAACATACACATACACTTTGAAAAACAAATAGGAAAACAACGACTTGGATAATGACCTGTATTTTCGTAAAGATGAGCTTCCAGAAGAATATTATAAATGGATATTGATCTTGAATATACGTAGATTAAAATAAGCATACATATACATTTGTAGTTGCAATGGCATCTTCATAATTAATTAACAAATTTTGGTATTTATCAAATGACAGCTGGCTAAACGTCTTCGAAAATGGCCTGTAAAAATTAGCTCCCAGAAGAATGTTTGAAATGAATGTTGATCTTGAATATACATAGATTCAAATTAGCGTACATATAAGATTATAGCTGCTAAGCAGAGACATTTTTCGGAATATTCATGAAACAGTCTGCAACCAAACATACACATACAATTGAAAAACAAATAGGAAAACAACGACTTGGATAATGATCTGTATTTTAGTAAACTGGAGCTCCCAGAAGAATGTTATAAATGCATATTGATCTTGAATATACACGGATTAAAATGAGTCTAAATGCAATGGTGTCCTCATAATTGATTAACAAACTTTGGTATTACATTAATGAGTTGGGAAAATAGCTTCTTCGAAAATGGCTTGTATTTACGTAAACATGAGCTCCCAGAAGAATGTTAGAATTAAATGTTGATCTTGAATATACCCAGATTCAAATGAGCATAAATGCAAGATTATAACTACTATAGTGTCTTCATAATTAATTAACAAATATTGGTATATCACAAATGACAGCTGGCAAAATAACTCTTCGAAAATGGCCTGTATTTTCGCAAAAATTAGCTCCCAGAAGAATGTTAGAAATGAATGTTGATCTTGAATATACGTAGATTCAAATAAACGTAAATACATGATTATAGCTGATAAGCAGAGACATCTTTCGGAATATTCAGGAAACAGTCTGCAACCAAACATACACATACAATTGAAAAACAAATAGGAAAACAACGACTTGGATAATGATCTTTATTTTAGTACACTGGAGCTCCCAGAAGAATTTTATATATGGATGTTGATCTTGAATATACACTGATCAAAATGAGCGTAAATCTTAATTTGTAGCTGCAATGGTATTCCCCATAATTGATTAACAAGCTTTGGTATTTCAAAAATGAGTTGGGAAAATAGCGTCTTCGAAAATGGCTTGCATTTACGTAAACATGAGCTCCCAGAAGAATGTTAGAATTAAATCTTGATCTTGAATATACCTAGATACAAATAAGCATAAATGTAAGATTATAACTGCTATTGCGTCTTCATAATTAATTAACAAACATTGGCATATCACACATGACTCCTTGCAAAATAACGTCTTAGAAAATGGCCTGTATTTTCGTAAACATTAGCTCCCAGAAGAATGTTAGAAATGAATGTTGATCTTGAATATACGTAGATTCAAATGAGCGTAAATATAAGATTATAGCACATACATAATTCGGAATATTCAGGAAATAGTCTGCAACCAAACATACACATACTTTGAAAAACAAATAGGAAAACAACAACTTGGATAATGATCTGTATTTTACTAAACTGGAGCTCCCAGAAGAATTTTGTATATGGATGTTGATCTTGAATATACACTGATTAAAATGAACGTAAATCTTAATTTGTAGCTGCAATGGTTTCCCCATAATTGATTAACAAACTATGGTATTTCACAAATGAGTTGGGAAAATAGCGTCTTCGAAAATGGCTTGTACTTACTTAAACATGAGCTCCCAGAAGAATGTTAGAATTAAATCTTGATCTTTAATATACCTAGATACAAATGAGCATAAATGTAAGATTATAACTGCTATTGCGTCTTCATAATTAATTAACAAACATTGGCATTTCACAAATGACATCTGGCAAAATAACGTCTTCGAAAATGGCCTGTATTTTTGCAAAAATTAGCTCCCAGAAGAATTTTAGAAATAAATGTTGATCTTGAATATACGTAGATTCAAATGAGCGTAAATATAAGATTATAACTGCTAATCACACACATATTTTGGAATATTCAGGAAACAGTCTGCAACCAAACATACACATTGAAAAACAAATAGAAAAACAAAGCCTTGGATAATGATCTGTATTTTAGTAAACATGAGCTCCCAGAAGAATGTTATATATGAATGGTGATCTTGAATATACACAGATTAGAATTAGCACAAATTATAGTTTGTAGCTGCAATGAGTTGGGAAAATAACGTCTTCGAAAATGGCCTGTATTTTCGTATACACCAACTCTCAGAAGAATTTTGGGCATTCATGTTGATCTTGAATATAGAGGGATTAAAATAAGTGTAAATACAGATTTCTAGCTACCATAGCGTCACGAAAAGGTAAAGTGTTCAGCTTTAAATGGTGTGGTCGATGATGTAATTATCTTGAAGGATTGTCGAGAAATTTACGAAAATCTGAAAAAAAAATCGGAATTGCGGACCAAAAAGTTTAAGTATAATTATGTTAACACAATGATATTTTCAGGTTGTTCCAAATAAAACTTAAATTTGAAAATCTTTAAAGAGTTTTTTCTTTTGTAAATTGTACTTTTTTTATTAGTATTTTGTTTGTTTAAATGTTTACTGTATGATGATTGAGTATTCTGTAAGGAAATTGGAATATGCGGATGGTGTATACAATAATGACCAGAAACGTTAGAAAAAAAGGATTATATTTTATTTAAAGTTAAAATAAGTCTTAAGCGTGTGGAATAATTATTGTTTGCATTCGTCCCTGTCGGCATTGGATGGCCAATCACATATGTGGCTGTTGACTTGATAAACAGTTCCTGGCCGACATTCGAAGACCATTGGCTTACCATGAACACAACGATAGTACTGTAACGTGATGGGCATGTTAACATCAGATTTAACATATGCTTCTCGGATCACTTACCTTCCCGCAGTCCAGATGAGGTATGAAGTCTTGGTCGGAGCAATCAATGTCGTTGTTATCGATCTCCTCTGGAATTTCCTCCAGTTCCTCGACTTCTGTCTCTGGGTACTCCACAACCAAGGTTGTTGACTTCATGGTTGTTGTTGTGTATTTCGTCGTGGGGATCTGATGTACAGTCGTTGGCTTGCGGGTTGTCTGGACCAGTGATGGGCCGGTTCCTTGGGTCGTGGGTGGACGGGCCCATTCCGGCTAAAAGCGGTATTTATATGAATTCAGACTAAATATGTAAATGAATCCACAACTCACCCGAGGCGTGGTTGAGACCGTGGGTTCAGGAACATCATAGGATTTCATGTTCGCATGTAGAATATTCATGAGGACGTTTTTCGGACCACAAAGCCCATGGAAGTCGTCCATGTCTATTGCCCAAGTCATTGCACCTCCATAGCCCATCTCTTTAATATAATCCATTTTTATTTGTACACTTTCAGGGTTCTCGTAGCCAACCCATTGAGTTCCTTTGTAAGTGTAAGGCACCTTTCCTTGAGCATCCCATTTTTTGGTCCAGCCTTTATTATCATCTTGAACCTCTGTGCAAATCTTCAAAAACAAATACGATAATTACATATACTTTATTAATTCACTCTAATTCACTTACTTCGTAATAAGCCAAAAATCCAGTTGCGTTTGTATAAGGCCCAGGCGCTCCTCCTCCAGCTTCCTTATTAATGTATGTACCTAAATTGTAATTATTGTTTCCTTGACTCAGAGTGAATGATCTTCCATAAAACGGAATACCAACAACCAGTTTCTTAGGAGAGCATCCATAATTTACCCAGAGCTTCAAACCGTCATGCTGGAGATTTTTAAATAAAATTTTTAATCTTTCAGGTTTTTTGTTTAAGGATACTTACAACATTTAATTTTTCGTAAGCCCATTGGTCGTGGTCTCTTTTATATAAAGCGCTATGCGAATCAGCAAATCCAGCCCAATTACCCCTCAAATCATAGCTCATCACGTGTATGGCGTCCAATAATCTGTAATTAATAAGTAGTAACTTTCCATTTCGCTTTAAAACATTAATATTCAGTACTCGCAAAGCTCTGGTACGTGATAGCCTTCATCCAATCTGAATTTGGCTATGGGTACAGCCATGGTGATTTCCCATTCTTTGTTTTCCTTATCGAAGGCCCTGCGTAACTCCTCTACGAAGTAGAAGAACCTGTCCTTGTCGGCGAAGGTGCCGCCGCGGTCCGTGGCTCCAGGATACTCCCAATCCAGATCGAAGCCATCGAATTTATAGGTGTTCATGAATTGTACAACGCTAGCTATGAAGGTGTCTCTACGCGACTTGTGTCCTACAAGGGCCGAGTACTTATCGCCGCCTTCTCCCCAACCACCAACGGCCACCTGGAATTTAACATTCGGATGCTTCGTCTTCAAGGCAACGAACTTCTCGAAACCACCGTTCTCTACGTCGACCTGCAGATGTATGTTTGTTAATGATGAGAACGTCGTCCGCTAGATTGATGTGTTTACCTCTTCGTCCAGGACCAGCACCTCCCAAGTTGCATTATTCACGCCGATGAAGGAGTAGACGAGGTGCGTGCATAATTCCGTGGGAATGTCGTCGATTCCGTATTTGCCGACGCCCGGCCTGTAGATAGCCCAGTTGCTGAAGTAGCAAACGACTCTAGATGGAATACCTAATAATTGCAAATATTCAAATAAATTAATTGAAACTGTTTAAAAGTATTTTGTTACCTTCGGCTTGGAGGCTCAGGAACAATACGGCCGCAGTGAGGAGTAGGAGCCGCATCGCAGTATTTTTTCCTTCGGCGTTGCTGGATTTAATGACACCTCTTCAGCGGTACGGGCATGCTTTATACCCAAGTCCAAGTCGATCGTTTGTTGTTCCTTTTTTATTTTTTTATCTCGCCCCATCCTCCGGCATTCAGCATAAATTTAAAGAGAACTCTTTTTATGTTTTCTGCGTCCCTTCCTTATCCGTCCTTTCATTGCTATTGCAGACAATTTCTATAGAGAATATTAAACAAGTAGCGAAACAAGAAGAGACCCTTTCGTGCATAATAATCAATCGCAATCATTGTCATGCATTATTTTATTTATCATCCATTGTTTCTAATACACGGCTACCGCGGATCTCGCGGTTCCCTTTCGATTTATCGGTTTTCATGTGTGAATTCAAATGTGCATCCTAACAGTATTTGCAATGCTGTTCCTTCTTCGTTCGTGTATTGTATTATTCTTTTTTGCCATCGGATCTTAGGATCATCGACCCGTAGAACAGGTTTCAAATGAGTAATTTCGTATTGCCGTACATATCGAAAATAACGGTACGACAAAGATCATAACATTTTTATTAACAAATACTGGTTACTTCTGGTCAAACTGGATCTACTCTGATATCATTTCGATTGATACATTATTTTATTTTTATGAAATATTTGCTCAATTTTCTTTCAGCCTTAAACTAAGAAAAAATATACACATCCTTTCATCTCCTAACCAGTTGCCTCTTTAGTATCATTCAATTAAACTATTAATACATTCCATTTCTCTATTTAACTCTCACTAAATAATCAATCTACTTTCAAGTATTAATATAATGAGGTGTAATTTTGTAAAAAGCTCGAGTTTCAAATTGAAAACAACAAAAACATAAACAGGAAACACGCATTAAAAGCAAATAGAGTTCTGGATAGCATATCAACGAGTTATCATACATAATGGATTCTAGTTAACATTTTCAATATCAAAGAAAATATACTTATTAAAGTTGTTTCAATCCTAAAAATTAACAAACAAATAAAATTATTAACTAGAGATACTACCACTATTTCATTCATAATCATATCTAAATTTGTAAATTGTAACCATAAATTATTTTGTTGTTGACTATTTGATAAAAGATAATTATACAATTATTTGTTTTTGTGTGCGAAATAGATTACAAAACATGTAGTAAAAATTAGGTATAATTAAATATAACAATTGCTGACATTGAGAATGTTTTGTATTTCAATTTGTTGGATTTAAATTCAAATAGAAAATGTTTAATAGGGATTAATAAACGGATTAAATCAATATTTTAAACTTCTTCTACTTCCATGCAGATGTCGCATGCTTTGCTAAAATGATATTTTTTTTTAAACACTAATTCTATGTACAAATTCTTACATTATACAAAAACTCTTCTAAGAAGAATGCAGCAAAAAGTTACATTCTTTACATTTATATTGATTTAAAGCTACAGTAGTTGCATTTAAGATATTACTATAGTTTGCTATAAATATGTGTATCAAATATTCCACACTCTTATGAATTCTGCGAAAGTCTATATAAATCAACCATAAAACATGGAATATTTTGTATGTACATGTATAATCAAGTAGGTAAAATTCAAGCCATCATACGTAATTTGAATAAAGCAGGAAAAAAAATAGGAATTCATTTCTGTTGAAAATCTCAAGTTGAATCAGTAAGAGATTAACTGGACTCTTAACGTGTAATGAAATTTACAATTACGTAAATAACGAACTTTATTGTCTTCATTGCTTTATATATAGAAAATAAAAGTAAAACCCTCGAAAACGTTCTCAAAATTACGTTTTGGTATTCTGAATTATAAATGTTACTAGTATCAGGTTTTATTTAAGTTAAGATATGGCCTTGAGTTGGACAACTTGTGTTAAATTACTGTTATTAACATTCAATTTAAGTTATACTTAAATTCAATCTATAAAACCATAAACAAGATCGGTGGCAATCGTAAGCCCGACAACCGAAATCCTGACAATCAAAATCTCGACTATATCGAAATCCCGACAGTGTCTTTTATTATTATAAATTTCTACAATAACATTTTTATGGTAGTCGGGTTTTCAACAGACTGTCTTTCGGTTGTCGGGCTTGCGATATAGACCCAAACAAGATATATATATTATATACAAAAAAAACAATTTTGTTATTTATTGGACACAATGTGAGTCAAAGTAATTGGTAAAATAATTTAATAATTGTTAAAGTTAACTTTAATTAATGTTTATGTTAAATTTAACAAGAATAATAAATGGGATTGAATCGAATTGAATGTTGTTGATTATCGATAAGTTATGTAGTCAAAGCCAATACTATTGGATACCAGAGGGCGCAATAAACATGAAAATTAAATATTGATTTCATTCTTATCCCACGGGGATAAGATGAAATCCGAGACATTTTCATCTCATTAAGTTGCTGTAGGATCGATAAGCTCCAAATGGAAGCAAATTACATTTTGCTGCAATATCCTGCACTGCAGTACAATCATAAAATAAATGTCAGTAAAGGAAAATATAGAACTGAATCAAATAAAGATGATATTTAATAAATCCTAGTTTTATATTCTTCCTAATTTGTCTTTCTGTCCTTATAGACTTTGTATTTGTTTGTTCTTTAGGATCTCTATCATTTGGTTATATACCATTGATTTATGGTGTTAAAATTATGGTAATTGTAATGTAAATAAATATTATTAAAGTTGGATAATTATATATAAGACTATTAGTTCAAGGCACTCTACTCGTCGTGGTTAAGAAGTATCAATGTTATATTCGGTACAAAGTATTAATTGAATAAAACTCTGATAGTAATAATTTAAAAAAAAGGTCATAGTTGAAAATATTTATTTTATGAATAACATAAATGAAAACAGAAAGATAAGAAATAAAATGGATTATCCTAATCTAAATATTGAAGGTCCGTGACTAAAATTTTGTTTATAAAAATATTAAGTGACAAACATGAAGAAATCTTAAATCTCGACTGCTGACGTGTCTTAACATAAATATATATATCTATATAAAAAAAAATCTAGTTCAATATTCAAATTTTATTTAAAAAATGATAATGTGAAGTTGCAAAGGTCAATTTTGTATTGAGTAATCGAAACAAATTGGTTGTAACAAAAGGCGCAACAAACGATCTAAATTAAGAATTGTGAGCATTCCATTGAAAACAAATTGCATCTACGTCGCAGCTCGAAACATTTGCACAAATAATAAATTATTTAAACAAACCGGTGAATGGATGCGCCGTTGTATTTCCATCACGTAACGCGAATACAAAACAAATCAGAAATAATCAACGGCCGACCAAAATAAACACAACTTCCTAATACAAATATAAACGATCAAAACATTGAAATCAATCACTTTCGATCTCTATAAAGATTAAAGCACCGTTAGTTATCATCAATAAATATACAAATTTCAATATAAAAAGAAGATGGTAATTGGATGCAAGTATTTCAGGCTGTTTCGACCACTTCGTTTGGAATCTTCATTTGCATTTATCGATCGTCCGTTTTTATTGCGTCCAATTAAAATATTAAATCATCAAATAACTCCTGCTGTTAATGGGAATACTCAAGAAATATATATAAAAAAAATGCAGTGAATTTAATACCAGTTCCCAGCATTTCGATTCACGATTGCGTATTTATTAGTGGACGAAATGCGACAACATCGACGGGTCAAGCTTATGATATTTGTCGATGCGAAGATCAAGGACGGGAGAAATTCGATTGAATTATTTCATTTATTTAATCATTACCAATCTGCACCTAAAGTAATGCACTAAATAAGAATCGATTATTTGATGCTTTGACATTGCCATTTATTGCATTCAAGTACTCAATAAAGATCTTATAAAGTACTTAACCAATTGAAAACAATACTTTGACAGTATTTTGCACAAATATATTAATCGGTATATGTATACTCCCATTATTTTGTAGCATACAAGTACTTTGCACATTATGCGTTACTTGACAAGTTTGTTGGCATAGTGTAAATCCATCCATTTTAGTGTACTTTGTTATATACAAGTACGTTACACATTAAATGATACTTGACATATCCTCGTATTATTGTACTTTATACTATTTACGATTACATTTGGCGCATAGCATATAGCCTCTGGAATTAGTGTACTTATAGTATATACAAGCATCTCCCATACTACGCAATACTTGATAAGTTTGCTGCTACAGTGTACAACCTTCCATTTTACTGTACTTTGTTATATACAAGTACGTTGCACATTATATGATACTTCACATATCCTCGTATTATTGCACTTTATACTATATACGATACATTTGGCGCATAGCATATAGCATCTGGAATTAGTGTACTTATAGTATATACATGTTAGTGTACTTTGTATTATACAAGTACTTTGCACATGATTGACAGTGTATATCCTCTGTTTAGTCTAGTGTTTATTGACGTATTTTGTATCTACCTTGATGTGACGTTAGACAGCGCGGAAGCACAAATTAATACGCGTTACGCGACATAATTTGGATCAAGTAATAACAAGGATAATTATTAAGGTCACTGATATTAATTGGAAATATAGTACTCTTACTCCAAACGTTTTATTTATTTTTGTCACGATTCTCATGACTAATTATGCTTATTCAAATATACGTTTAATGATAAAAACAAAGTAATGTGAGTAAATTTAACAATTTTTACAAAATGGAATCATCTGACATAAATCGTCTGAATTTCATGCATATTTAGTTAGTTAAATAAAAAAAAGAAAAGTTTACATATAAACTATTATATAATATCAAGTTGTAAATAATAATTTGTTGTATACATGCTTACATACTAGGGGTTATTGACCGCAATCTTTCCACCCTTTAATATATATATATTTCAACAATTTACAAAAGTCCTTTTCTTTATTTTATATTTTGATATTTAAACGTGCAATTATATTTTATGGAAAATGTTGAAAATAATTTATTTAGGAATGCAACATGAAGATCTAAGGTCCACCAAAATCTAGTTAGGCAATGATTTTCTTTATGCATCTTGAAATCTTTCTTTGCAAGTGTTCTTTTGTCCCAAGCTTTTAAACGTGTTTCAACAATGACCCTGCCGTTTGAAAATATCGTGCCAGGTATTTATTTACAAGTTGTGTAGTACGTTAATAGCAAATGTTGTTTAAATTGAATGAATAGTCTATTATTTTGCCAGCGAAAAAAAAAAGTAACAAGTAATTATATGGCACAAATAAATACATGCATTTAAGTAATGCGGCGGGATTAGAAACCTGTTTTTTTTTTCTTTTCCTCGACTACCTCGACCGCTTTGCTATCTCCTTCGAATTACGTGGTTCGGAATAGGGCGTCTCGGATTACAGAGTCGAAATCTCTGAAACGGGATTACAGGTGCGTCGCTATCTCTTTCTTTCTCTTTCTTCAGCTCCATCTTCTTTATTTATTTTTTTTCTTCTCTTGGCTTTATTTTTGTTGTCGACCCTTACCTCTATAGCACCTTTCTTAGTCGCCTTTGAATTCGAAACGTAAAGATTCACCTGCATTAAGAAAGGTTAGGTAGGGTCCATCTACCTGGCGAAGGTGAGCCGCCAACAAGCAACGTTTTCTATCGAAAATTGAAAAAAAAAATGGATCAACCCATGGTAATGATTTTTTATTGATGATTGATGATGCGGAGGCGTAGGTACGCAATAGCATTCGCATGACGTCCGGTCGTAGTTCCGAGAAACCGTGCAATTTTCCCCAGATCGAACCTTTGAACTCTTTTTCCAGGGGCTTCGTTTGCAAGCCTCCGCGACCACTGTAATTATCCGTTTATCCGCTCGGTTTCTTCCCGCAAACGCTTACAGACCGGAGCAGATTTCTTTTTAAATCATTAAACAATTAGTTTCGTTATTTATTAATGACTGTTAATTATCGCCAGAATAACAATCACGAACGTCTGTATATATCTCACTCATCCCTGCGACAGTTAATTAACTCGCATTTCCATTATCCGGAAGTACGGCAGCTTTCCTCTTACTGTTCATAATAATAATCAAATGCTATTACGGAATATTGTTACTTGTAAGTCCACAGTTCGAGGTTTTCCTATGGCTGAAATAACAAATTTTACAGATTACAAAATACCCAAAAACGCACGTTTACTCAACGTTGTTTGTCAACGCTATTCTATCTTTTCTTTAGAAATAAAGGCTATTATCTGACCCTTATCTGTACTCATTTGATCTTCAATGGTTCGACGAAAGGACGAGTTATTTTTAAAATAAAAGTATCAACAAAATTTCCTTAAAAAACAATATAAATTAAATTGGGACAACTATAAAAGTTCATACTAAAAGTTGTAATAAAATAGGATATAACTAAAAAAATGTATATAATATAATTATTGAAAATAGTAGTAAAATAACAAAATCTGATAAAAAGTTATTGATTGCACTAATTTAAAATATTTATTCATGTTACATGTTAATTAAAATGAGAAATGTGAATGAAATTCAATTAAAAATATTTTAATGATTGCAAATGACGCAAATGAAATTTCTACATTAATGAAAAATCCCCATGTTTCAATTATATTTGGTAAAGGTTGATGGAATTTTACTGCCCTTTCAACTAAATACCATTGCTCGTTATCAGCAATTGCGTATGGAAAATTTTCGGAATTCGATTGTCGTCAACGGGGAGAAATATATAATTGAATGATAGAGCATTCGATGAATATTCAATTAATTCCTATATCAGTTATTTCTTGGAAAAGTCGTTTTTCTGGAAACATGCTATAGTAACTCGTTTCAATAATAATATTGGGTTGTTTTTGATTCGAGTTTTTCGCAATTGATTTTCTAGTAATTGGTGATAAGATGTAATCGCGGGTCACAGCTTAAGATCAAAATACATCCATGAGTAGAAGACGTAAATTTTCATAGAAATTCTCCTAGTTTGTTTTTTTTTTGTCACTAGCAAAATTTTTGAGGTAATTTCCAAGAAATTGGGTGTCCTTTATTATTTGGGTATGCAGATGTTTGCTAGGGTTAGTTCATATTCGAGAATTAGGTGGTGAAAGTGGCTCTGAGGGTTGCTTTTCTCATCAGAGCCATCTCTCGGTATATATACTTGGCTGTATTTGGTAGTTGCGCAACGCTGCCTGCCTTGTTTTGATGGCCGAATAGTGCAGACCAGCGTTCGGAACCTTCCATAGTGCGGGCAACAAAAAAACAAACCAGAGGAGCAGAAATAAGTGGCAAAAAATAAGCTCGTTTATCGCCAAAGAAGATGTCAGTGCACCATTTGTGATTTTTGCAAATAATCTTGGTACAGTTCAGCAGTTGTTGCCGTAAAATAAAATACGTGAAATGGGACTATGTGATTTCAATGGAAGAACGTCTACGTATTAGTTCCTAGTATTGCTATTTTCAAGAATGGTGTATCATAATCTAAATGTAAGTGTTTTCGCTTTAACCGATTATCCGGAGGGTTCTACCGAAGTAGACCCTTCGAATCATACCCCAAGGGCATGCATCTCATCCCTTATCCGTTAGCACACTTTTGTTTACTAATTTTCATCATTTTCACACAACATAAATATGTTACACACATACATACATACACAGACACACACACACATAACCATAAGCATATACACGCATACACATGAACCTTTTCTCCTCAGCCTTTAAAGCTTAGATTTCAACAGCTCTTTCAGATTACAAATTTCAGAATTGCTTTTTTCTTCTTTTCTCCTTCTTCTTTTTTTTTTCCATTTAATGTTGGTTTATTTGAAACTGCACTCTCAATATCATAGATTGCAATTGCTCAACTCATAAACAATCTGATGCAGTTCTGGAAAATAGTAAATTGCAATGGATTCCAGAGAATTAATACTAGCACTTTATCTGCAGTGAACATTATATTAGACATCGTCAGACAGCTCAATTGGCAAATTGACCATCAGGGCTGAGTTTGTCAGTTTCAATGTTTGTGTTCCTCTCTGATAACTCGGCTGTAGTAGTATCTTAACAACAGTCAGTTTCCAGAGCCCTAGACAGACACATGTACTCAGACATTGCATGTTAACACAACAAAAATTTATTTAACGAGAAAGCAAAATATTTTTATTTATTGATGAACCAACAACAATTATTTTTGCAGGTGAAGTAAGATGGCTTTCAATAATACTAATTATGTTCAAAAAGCATTCTTCATACTATTGTTGCTTGCGTCTAGTATCAATTTTGTGTTTATGAAGTGCTCACCAGGTATATCAACGATTGGTTGTAAGTGCATCTTAGTGTTATAGTTCTGCAGATATTTCAATTATTATTAATTTACAGACACATTTCCCCATGGAGACATTACTTTGCAATATGCCGAAGATCCTCTTGAGATAACTTGTGTGATAGATGATAAAAGCTTTTTAAAAAATGAAACAAATCCTAGTAGGTTAATGGCATTCCTTGACGGACCTGTGGATTTATCAAGCTACGTAAGTACATTTTTAAATTTGCATTTACAGTTATTAAAATTATCAATATAAAATAAATTCATTTTAAAAAATTTAAAATCTTAACTAATAATAACATTTATTGAAACAGTTAAAAATATCAAATAAAAAAGATTAACTTTTATAATTTACTAATATTAAAAAAAAATAATGTTAATGATTATAATTGAAACTGAACTTTATATTCTATTGCTAATGTTACCCCTATTTTAGGTTGAAATTTTGAATGAAACCAGTATAAGGTTATATAGAGAGAATTTAGAACTAACAGATTCCACGGTTGTGTGTACTTATAATGGTACTGCAGTGTGTCTAAATAAAGTTGTGGTTGGATGTAAGTATACTGCAATTGAAAGTAATAATGAAAACATTAACATATTTATATTGTAGTAAAACCACAAACCGTAACAGACTTTAGTTGTATTGGTTACAATTATGATAATTTGACGTGTTCTTGGACAGCTCCAAAGAACTATGTAAAAACTAATTATGCTCTGACATACACCTTTAAGGGTAGAGCAGGAAGGTAATTAATATAAATAATATTTGTAAAGAATTTGAATTTATGCAGTGATCAATATTTTAGGAATCCCAATAGTTGCGAAATACTTATAAATAATGACATTATGAGTTGCTTTTGGAGTGTATCATCAAATCCACATTATCGTCAAGTACAACCTACTTACAACTTCGAGTTAACCATGTCCAATAAATTTGGCAATAATAGTATAAACTATACATTGGATCATTTCAAATACGGTAAGTTTGAAGCTTTCATTTTTTTTTAACAGTTTTACGAATTATTAAATTTTCAGTTAAACCCAACCCTCCCGAGAATTTGAAAGTTGTTAATTTGACGACAAATTCAATATTATTAAATTGGACAATTCCAAGTTCGATTTCTCATTTCGAACCCGGACTACAATATAGAATACTCTATCAGTGCGAACCTGGTCCCAAGGAATGGAAGGTAATGTAGTATTAACTCAATTGTTTCAAGCAAAATCTTAATATTGTTTTGGTCTTTCTTTCTTTCTTTAGTTGGCTTATTTAGGTTACATGAAAAATAAAAAGGAAGTGACCTATAATTTGAACGGACTTCGGCCTCACGAGTTGTGCGATATCAGAGTGTCTTTGAGATCAAACAAGTCCGACGATGAAAATATGTGGTCCGGGAACTCATCGCTGACAACAAGAACAATCAGTGACAGTAAGTCTTATTCTTATATTTTTCTTTATAATCTAATGTTTAGCGTAAACAAGTTACATTGAACGCAACTATTTCTACATAACTATTATCATATTTCAAAACTTTCGATGAACGCTTATGCGTACAATCAAGTATTTGTACATATTGTCAATTAGATATATTTGATATGTTGATACCGCATCTTTGATACCACGCGGCAACCATCTTAAAAATAATTTGTTGTTGCGGCTTTTCTAATTCGCATTCTATGAAACGAAATTACAGTTCGGATTATAATTTTAATTAGATGATAATTTTTATGACGTAAAATCTCTAACCCGGACCCGATTTCAATTTCCATGAATCAGCACAAATAAATCATTATAATCTTATCATGTTTATGCGTATTTCAATTACACTAAACATACAACAATTATTGTTTTTATACAAACTTTGTTCAATCTGAGGTATCAACCAATTTATAATACATTTTGTTTTAATTCTGTTTGTTCTATGAAGAATTAACACCTTTATTTTCATCAAGTTTACTTCAATACTACAAGTATTTAGTCATAGTAAATATATTTTATGAAAGTGGTACTATTAAAATGTCACTAAAATCGTATCTTCTTGGCTACGTTCCCAAATATAATTTTGGAAATTGAATCAATCGTCAAACAACTTTCGGGAAAACCCATCATCAATTTTGTAGAACTAAGTACTTGTAGTACTGATGGATTCTTTATTTAGAAAGTCAAACTAAATAAATTTGATGGAAGTGGTACTAATAAAATCGTAGCTATCTTTTAGTACTAGTCGCGTCTCCGAAAAGCTATCGACAAACAACAATGATGTACTTTTTCTGAAAACTATTTTAGGAAGCTACATAATGTTTTGATCTACTTTGTAGTACGAAAAACATCCATTCTCTATTTAGAAAGTCTGTACAAAATATATTCTTATGAAAGTGGTACAATTAAAATGTCACTAAAATCGTATCTTCTTAGCTGCGTTCCCAAATATAATTTTGGAAATTGAATCAATCGTCAAACAACTTTCGGGAAAAACCATCATCAATTTTGTAAAACTAATAACATCCGTCAATACAACATACTAAAGTACTTGTTGTACTGATGGATTCTCTATTTAGAAAGTCAAAGTAAATAGATTTGATGAAAGTACTAATAAAATCGTAGCTATACTAAAGTAGTGCTAGTCGCGTCTCCGAAAAAGCTATCGACAAACAACAATAATGTACTTTTTCTGAAAACTATTTTAGGAAGCTACATAACGTTTTGATGTACTTTGTAGTACCAATAACAACCATTCCCTATTTAGAAAGTCGTACTAAATATATTTTATGGAACTGGTTCTAAAAATTGTTACTAAAATTGTACCTATCTCATTATAGTACCGGCGGCGTCTCCGAAAACAATTTTGGGAAGCTATGAATTGCTTCAATCGACAAACAACTTAAACACCAGGGAGGTGTACATTTACTGGCAACAAGTACCTGAAGAGTTAAAGAATGACGACACCTTCGAATATTATGTAACCGAGATGAACGGAAGCAGTGAGCTGAACCTGACTGAGATAACAAAGTCTTATGCTCATTACGCTGACCTATTAACATACAAAGAGTACACATTCTTGATTTGGTCGCGGAACTCCATTGGATTATCCGTGAATCATTCTATAGTCAGTGTACCGTCAGCTGAAAACCGTAAGTTAAAAAAAATATAGCATTGAATGTATTTCTAATAAAATGCATTGATGTGTAGGTCCTTCAGCTCCGACTTCATTAATAAAGATTGCTGGCAACAACAATCATTATCAACTGCATTGGGAAAAGCCAAGTAGCAACAATATCATCACTAACTATACCATATTTTGGTGCAAGAACTCTAAAGATAGACCGTTCCAATGTAGCGTAAGTATTTTCATAGTTTAAACTTCTAAACGTTGTATTGACTTTTTTTTAACTATTAATTAGGGTTATTTGAACTGGAAAACTGTACCAAGTTATTTACTGGAGCATAATATTACAATGGAGGATAACGACGTTGTGCAATTCGCTATTGCGGCAAACTCTTTTGACTATAGTAGTGGTATGGTTTGGGCTGGTTGCACAATTCTCCATAACAAAAATGTGGATAAAATAAAGGATGTATATAGGATCACACTCAAGTCTACATCAATTGAGCTCAAATGGAAATTGGATTGCATCCACGGCATCGGCGGAATTACAGGTTATATTATTTATTATTGCCGCATTGGATCGCCAAAGTCGAAGGTTTGCAAAGGTAAATTTCAATCATTCATTAGGAGAATTACATAATTTAATGTATTGATATTTATTTTAGGGGAACAATATAATGTGACAATCAAAGGGGATAAAACTACTACTACTGGTATCGTAGAAGGATTAGAACCTTACACCACTTACATGCTATCTGTGTCTTTAAATACTACTCTCGGTATTATCAGTGAACAGAGTGAATCTATTCACGAAACAACTTTAGAAGCCGGTAAATTGAAACTTATTGAATTTTTATTTTGTTTTGTTTTACTAAAAATTTAATTGTTTTATAGCTCCAAGTCAACCATTAAATTTGACTCTACTGGATGTGACAAATTCCTCAATCAAAATCTCTTGGATTCAGCCAAAAAATTTGAATGGTATCTTAAAGTACTACGAGATCCATTATAACAATAGATCAATAAAAGTCGACAAAGATGTCCAAAACGTTAAAACTTACAATTATACTTTGGACAACTTGACAAGTTATGAAAGTTATAACATAACTATAGCAGCTTGTACAACTGCTTGTTCAGAGCATTCGAAAAACGTGGATGTAAAGACTATCATTGGAAGTAAGTTAACATTTAAACCTTATTTCGATTGGCGATGTTTAATGATTTTTTCTTACAGTTCCGGGAAAGATCAATCAACCTAGAGTAACCTATCAGAACAATTCGTTTATTCTGATTAAGTGGGATCGACCCTATGTACCACGTGGAAAGAATGACTATTATCAAATCAGCATTCGCGGGAAATCAAACAGAATTGATAGACCCGACTACCGTAACATTACCGGTAAGTGTTCGATTTTCTTATTTATCTATATTATGAACGATTGTTGCCATCGTTAGTTAAAGTTGATGTAAAAATTTCTATATAGAACCGTTATTTGGAATTGGCATTCATAACATAATTTATATTAATGTTGTCCATGATTTCTTTTTCAAGTGAATCGTCAATATCATTACTTTGGAATGGAAATGGACACATTCATTAGTATAGTCCAGTTTATCATTTTTAAAGGAATTAAACTATTATTCACTTGCAAATAAGCTTTGGCTTACATACATATGGTAACTGACTAGGTAATACTAAAAATAAGGTAACAACAAATGCATTATTGATAGATGCGCCGCTTTCATGTTTAACATATCCTATGTTGTGCAAAGTAATCAAAGAAATATGCAATTATAATGATTAACGTTTGTTTCTAACGCTCCTATTATTCCTTTGTGTTGCTGTAGCATTTTATAATGTATACTTTGATCTAACAATTTCTTACTAGAAGATGTGTTCACCGGAATTAGGCTGTTGCATTTTCCTAATGCAATGGGTTATGGGTTTGGTGCCAATAGTTCGCTAATGGTTGTATTTATTTTCTTTAGATACTCAATATCCTATTGTTGACTGTGGTGGAGCTGATGAAAAGGTGGACACCTACACCATTGCAGTCAGAGCCGTCAACATAAAAGAAAGTACTCACTTGAAGGGACCCTGGAGCGATGAGTTGGATTTCTATTGCTCAAATCAAACCAACTTTGTGATTTGGATCATTATGGCATTAACGTTTATATTTGTAGCAGTTTTAGTGTACACACTCAGAAAGTAAGTAAATCGCAAAGAGTTTAGTGAACGTTTTTATTTAACAAATTATTTGTTTCAGAGTGTTCATTTATTGCAAGGATATGCGAAATGTTGAGCTGAAACTGCCTCCAGGTTTGGCACCGATTCCCGCTGAATGGGTACAGAAGGTTCAAGAGGAGCCTGAGTATAGACCGCCAGCTGACGAAGAATTGCTTCTTGAGAAGATCAGTGGATCAGTGATCATGTCCGGAGATTCAAGCGGTTGCAGCTCAGGCCATGGCAGTGTCGTCTCTGATACTGGAACTACTTTCTCTACAGGCGCATCGGATTCGGGCACCGAACAAAATGAACTGAGAAAACGCTCAAGAAATAATCCTGTTGGTCCAATGAGGGTCACCGCAAACACTGGATATGTGACAATGCCAACTGACTTGATAAAAACCACAAGGGTTAAACCAACGACTGGAAACTATTGTGTATTAGGTGTGGATCCTACCGTGCAAGATACCACAGAAAGTGGTTACGTAACGCAGGCACCGATGGAACTGCCGAAGACGACCCTCCCATATATATCTTGTGATGCCATCAATAATCCTCACATCACTACCGACGTGACAAAGGCTACTAACTCTGGTTACATTCCGTTGAATTATCCAGAGATCAGTGAAACTTCTAAGAACCCAGCTTATGTGATGGCGGGCAACAAGACCTTGCTTTTGCCTGATATTGTAAAGGCTCCTGAAGAGAAGATGTACGTGCAAGTTTCGGACGCCTCCGCTAAGGGCCTGAGCGCAGGCTCCTGGAACCCACCGGTGGAAAACACGATCAGCAAAGGGTACGTTTCTATAGGTGAAATGACTCCACCACCCGTGAAAAGAATTGAGAACAAGGGTTACGTACCACATAGACATTTGATGAAAGAGGATTGATTGAGGAAATTAGCATTTGCAAGTGACACTAAGGAACTTTTATGAATCTATTGATGAACTAGTGCATGCTGTCAACTTTATCCCTCACATCTATTTCATTAATTATTTTTTTTAACTTCGAACGTAACTAATGATAGTTGGGGTTGAGGTACCACCTATGTACACGTCCATGCCACCTCCTTTTTATAATACGTGACACGCCGGACACCTGTTATTGTAAATGTACAGTAAGTAAGTGCGGCCCTAGGTGGAAGCTCTGCCCTATAATTTTTATTTTTGTAAATATGAGATTTCGATTAACTATTTTTATTTTTAATTTCGTTCAAGATTTCTTTTGTATATATAAATATGTTTTATTTTTGTATTTGTATTTTTACATGGAGTGTCTTTGCAAAGTTTGTGCCTTATATCGGCGAAGAGAACAATCGAATCTTATCTTTATTTATGTTCTTCATCTTATGCTAAATTCTATATCATTCGCGCACTGTTTTTTAAACTGATTAGTTCACCATTTTTTGTTTGTCTTGTTTCATTTCTCTTTTTTTTTTAATTGTTCGTATATAATTTTTTTTCTGATCGCAGCGTTGAACGTTATGATTGCATAATGTTCATGCCGATCTTTCAACAGACATCGATGTAACTTGCCAATTGATTAACGCTTTTATTTATCACTCCCATCGCTTTAGATACGTTATTTGTTTTGTATGGAACTTGTGTTGTATCAGAAATATATATATACCTAACGCGATGCCTCAACAACCCCTGACCCCACAGAAACCAAATGTTGGAATTAATGTAATACAAAATTATTAAGTAAATGAAGTAATAATATTTGTATATATTCATTATGCAATAAACGTAGTTTTAATTTTGGCAGTTTACTTATGTGTAAGGCGCCGGAAATGAAATGGATTATATATTTTAGAAAATGCAGATTTGTTAACATTAATATCTTGATTATTATGTTATGTATATTTAATACTTAAGTTATTTAGTTTTATAGTATTATTGATTTTAATATTTTGTAAAGACAAATCAGAAGAGCAAATGAAAACATTTGAAATAACTTTTTTATTTGAATATACTCAAAACAAGGAACAAAACAGTCATATATATTTTTATTTTAGAACAATTCATGTAAAAAATTTGTATTGTCTAAGGCACTTGAATGTATAAAATACTGAACATTTCTTATGGACGAACTTCGTAGGGGATTTTCGGCGGTGGATAAACCGATTTGGCACGTTCAAAGGCTTGTAAAATGGACCGTCTGAAAGTATAAAATCATAATTATTACTGCGTCTTTGAGATCAGTTACTCGTCTATACCTGAACAATGTGAGATATTTAATGTAAGCTCCCACGTGGCCGCAGTCCAAATACTTAATAGTAGCACCAGGCCAGATATCTTCTAGTCTGGTGCATCCGTCTCTAGGAACATAGGCGTCTGATTGAGCGCACAGGGCTATAATCAATGAAGTATCCACTGGTGTTGCGAAGTTCTTCAAATGAGTGCACTCGTCCATCAAGCCTCTCATAAACCAAATAGCGTCCTTGTCTCTAATCTTTATGGAGGTAGTATCTTTCGTCACTTGCTTTAAAACAGACTTTATAAATGAGTAAAGGGGCTTCGAAGATTCCTCAGACACTAATAAATGACTAGTGGTGTCTGAGGTAGAATCTTTTATTAAAGCTAATAATTCGTGAGGCGTTAGGCTCTTATTTGCCGTCAATTTGCTCTTGTCGCTCACGATCAGTTCTGGTATTTTCGCCAATCCAAACTCTGTTGGATCGTCTACGATCTTGCACAACTTTGAAATAATCTCATGATACTGCTTGTTTGAGAAATATTGGTGCTGCAGGAAGTCCCAATCAATAGCCTCGCTCATCACACCCTAATTACATATGAAGTGTTTAATTGATTCAAGTATAGATTTATTTTATACTACTACCTCTGTGAACACTGATGAAGCTGTAGACCAAGACAAACATGGCACTAACACTAAAGGTTTGGGCCAACTTGTAGCTGCCAAAGATGCCATCTAAAATGTTAATTCAAATAAACATACAATCTTTATTTAATTGAATGTCTTACATGACCACCCATTGAAAGTCCTGTTACTCCCATTGGTCCAAACCCAAGTTTCTCACACCAATGCAAGATTGCAATGCACTCCAAAATTAAACAACCCCCCATTACAAAGATATCAGATACATTAAGCAAACAAGATCGATTTTGATCCTTTGGTTTTCTTGTACCATAGAAAGGGTTCTCTAAGATTATGGAAGCAATGCCCTGCTTCAGTAATGGTTTTACCATCATCTGTCGACGCTTCCAGAAATACTAGAAGCCTTCAGTTAATAATTAATGGTAAACATATGTGAAGAGTCCATACGTGATCACCAGTGCCAGCAAGGTGAATACATATTGGTCGATAAGGCCCAGTAGACCATTGCTTAGGTACAATCATTTGAAAGTAAGCATTCTGTACCTCTGGATGCACTACCTCGGGCAGATGTATAGCCAGGGGGCTTTTGAACCTGCAGTTTCTTACATAACAATCTGACCATGTCTCTTCCTACAAAAATAGAGTTTATTGTGTCCAAGTATTAATAGGTACGATCTCACCTTAAGTATTTCTATCGGGTGATCTTTGTCTACTAGGTTATAGCAGGTTTCCCTTTTTGAGATGATCTTCCTGAACTTCAATAGCCTATAGCAATAACATAACCCTAAAATATCGATTGACTTTGCGGAATATTTGGAACTAACCTGAGTACATGTTCTGGATCGCCCCATCCTTTTGTAAAAAACTTGGAGAGTAGAATTTTTCTATAAAAAATATCTAATCTACTGACTGGCATGTTTTTCATTCAAAAATACCAGAACAGAATACCGGGGTTTACCGTCAACAAAAATGACCTCTAATTGTGTGTGCCAAATATCATCTGATCGTCGCACTTTTTTTTACTCTAGCAGCGCACTCTTGATAACATTTGATACAGATACCGTTTGGGATAAGTCATAGCTTGCCAAAGACATATGCGCTCGAGACAAAGTTAATACGCAATCTTATCTGTAGCTCAACCACAAATTGGCAGCAATTAAGTAACGATGATAGTAAGGAATGTTATGCAATGGGATGAAATAGAAACAACAGGATTTACATCGAGAGTTATAATTCGTATTTATTTAAGCATCACTTAAATTATGATATACGCCACAACGACTAGTAAAAAAATAGAATAGGGGAAAGTGTAAAGGCGGCCCACAGGATATATATATATATATATGTATATATCATTAATATATAATAGGAAATAAAAGTTACAATAAATTTACACTTACAAAATATAATGGAGATCCGGGGGCCGCATATTGGTGAATTTACAAATAATGATTTTGTTAAAAACTATTTGGCCGAGTGGCATCAGAACTTAAAAACGAAAAATTAAATTACAATGATATATCAAAAGATATCTCTATTTATTTGTATTTACACATCAATTTGTAATATACAAATCAAGGTAGGCCTGATCATTCTAAAATCAAACACTTCCACAGCCACCTTTCATAATAAAAGTCTACAAAGAAAAGAAAAAGAAACAAGAAAATAATAATAATAAAGAATTATATAAAACAGCATCAATGGTAATCAAAAAATGCACAGTTCCAGATTCTGAAACAATATCATCCTAGTAATTATTTAGAGAAAAATAAAAATAAAACAATGGGATGTAAAAGGAATTAGAATAATAAAATAAATAACATTTTCTGGATAACATCTCAAATTGCAAACTGTACAGGTCACATCATGTCTACGACACAAAAAGTTCATTGTGGTCTTCTATCATAATCCCGCCTTCTATCGTACTCCGGGCGCCACTCTCTAGTGAACGCTGCTTGTTCGCCAGCCGGATATCCGGAATTTGCATTGTACCCAATACCATAATGCGCAGGTGTATTATACATCCTAGAGTTCAAAGGTACCACTTCCCTGCTCCTTGGGTATCTCCAATCTTCCTTACTGGGTAGCCTGTAAAGACTCCTAACATTGAAATCCCCTCCGAACACTTCGTCATAGTTACCGTTTCTCTGCAGACCTAGGCTGATCACGTTCCCTAGAATAGGAGTTCGGTCTCTGATAATCGAACCGATCCTTCCTGTGATCCGCAGAAGAGAATCTGTCCCTAGCCGGTGGATGCTGTCCCCATCTATCGCCCTCATGAGTTCTATCATTGTTCGGATAGTTGGACCTGGGTCCTTTGGAATTAGCGTCTCTCCATCGGGCGACACGCTCATCTTCCTTATCTTCCTCCCTGGACTTTTTCCGCTCACCTTTGTCCTTCCTCCTAACGAAAGTACAAAGAAATAAATGATTGCATAATATTAACAATTTTCAATATCTTACTTTTTAGATTCTCGATCCACCACGCCATCACGATCAGAATCTTCATGCCGTCTTTTTGTACTATCTTTCTCACGTTCTTTATCCTTCTCTTTGGAAGATCCAGGTTTGTCACTCTGCAATCAAATCGATTAATACAAACAACAACAGGTTAAATTTACTGTATATTACGTCGTTCTTCTTTTCTGTAGATTTTTTGCATGCTCTTTTATATAGCTTATAGAGCTTCTTCGAATCATATTCCGTGAATTTGGAAACAAAATACCACAGATTACTGGAAAAATAAACGGATGAGCAATTGCAAGTATGTTAACATGAACAAACAATACCTTCTCCACTCTTTTACTTTATCTTGATCAGAATACTGGATAAGACAAGTGTTAATCTGTTCGCCTATCTGGAGTAAGCAAAGTCTTGTATGATTCACTTGCTCTGCTTCAGTTAAAGATTCGTCTGGATTGTCCAGTGCTTTGAGAGCCTTTTTGACGGGTCTCATTTTCTCCTTGCACTAAAAATTATAAATTAATAATTTCCAACACATATCAAACACAAAATTTAAACTTACCTCATTGAATATAGAAGGATCTAAATCTCCTAAAACATCAAGTGCACGAGGCTCATTATTCGCAGTAAAATGCATCGGTCCAGCTGTTTTCTTCTCTTTTTCCTTTTTAGGTTTCTTCTTCTCCTTTTCTCCATGCTTATCCTTTTCCTTATTTGATTCTTTGGTTTTTGGCTCGTTCTTATTATTATCTTTTGTTTCTTCTCCATCTTCGTCCTTTTTCTTATTAATTTTCTTTGTAATTGTTACAGTGACTGTTGTTGTTTCTTCGTTGGAGCTTCCTTCTTCATCAACTATTTCCTTAGTTAATGCTTTCGGTTTGCGTTGCCGTTTCGGTTTCGCAACAGAACCCTTCTTAAGATCCTGCTGTTTCTTAAGTACTTTCAAGAGATACTCTGCGCGAGATTGCAAATGCTTTGCTTGTGGTTTCTTATCTTCGTTAGACAATATTTTGTCGCCGATACCAAGCGACGGATCCATTTTTATCTGTTCCCAAGAACCCATACCGTACTGGTATATACCTTGCAATATTTTAGAATCTTCATATGCTCCCCATTCAACATCGAAATGGGCTGGCTTGGTACGCGCTTCTAACTTCCACTTCTTACGTTCCTCCAAACTTGAAGGTAATATGTCATCTAAAGGTTGCAGTTCCTCTTCGCATTGCATCATAGTTTTGGCGTTAACAGAAACGCCACCTAACTTGAATGAGGGTCCTCTGTTGCGTTTCTTACCATCCGTGGATTCATTATTTTCTTTGGTGTGTTCACCCATGTAAGATTTACATCTTTCTTTGAGGACCTCGCCAAGTTTACGTAACTCTGGCAGAGGTTTTTCTTGGAGCTCCGCATCACACGCTACTGCTTCCAAGCGTTTTAACGGAGTGCTAAACTTCTTAAAGCTTTTAACGAATCTTCTTATTTCTGCGTCAGTGAAATTCTTAATTCGTTCTCTGTTGGCAAGAGGTGGGCGACCACGCTTTCGTGGCCTTTCATCATCACTTTCTTCTCCTTCTGCGCTAGACCCTGTTTCGTCAACTTGTTTTCTCTTTTTACCTCTGCCTTCTCCATCACTTTCTGATTGGTTAATTTGTTGCAATGTCTTTCTAGATCTTGGAGGTAGATATAAGTCTTCCATTTCCTTACTCCGTTCATCATCCTCCACTTTCTTCCGTAGTCTTTCTGGTATAATGTCATCCCAATCCTTACTTTCTCCATCTTCCTCTTGAGATACTTCCTCAGATATAGGAGATTGTTCGCTATCTTCTTCAAAAGCCTTAATTTTAGCAACTTTGAATGCTGAAAGCAACTCATCACCAACCATAGTCGGAGCCTCGTCCCTAGTCTCCGCTCTTCTCAAAATTTCGTCAATATCACACTGTAAAGAAAATCATTAATTTTCCGACTAATAAGCAGAAAATTGATATGCTTACCACTGGATCGTCGCTTTCATCTTCTTCATCTTTGAACAATTCCTCAGCGCCAAACTTAAGGATTGCAGTGAGATCTTCTTTATTAAATGGAGTATTATTAGAAGAACCTTTCTTATCCAATACGGTACGGCCAGTAGTGTCCATTCTCTGAATAACTAAATGATCTAATACCATTTTTTGCTTAGCCCTTTCTACGATTTCCTCTTCTACAGACCTAGCTGTCACTAATCTATAAATATTTACTTGATTCTTCTGACCAATTCGATGGGCTCTTGCTTGTGCCTGAAGATCATTCTGAGGATTCCAATCAGAATCAAATATTATTACAGTATCTGCTGTAGCTAAATTTATGCCTAATCCACCAGCTCGTGTGGATAAAAGGAAACAAAAATCTTGAGATCCTTCCGCATTAAAATGGTCCAGGGCTTGACGCCTGAGTTCTCCCTTAATGCTACCATCTAATCTTTGGAATGGAAAATGCCGATATTGCAAATATTCCCCGAGAATATCCAACATTCGCACCATCTGAGAGAATATAAGCACCCTGTGGCCAGTTTCCCTTAATCGTATTAGTAGTTTATCAAGTAGCACTAACTTTCCCGAGCCCTTGAGCATCTGCTGAAGATAATCACTCTGTGTAATGTGATGATCTTGATCCATGGGTTTGGTTAATAGTGCGTGATTGCAACATTTCTTTAACTCTATAACTATATTCAAAAACGTATTTGTTGAGCCTTTGACTCCTTTTCTAAGAGCATTGTAATTTTTAGTGAGGATCCATTTGTAATATTGTTTTTGTATTGGTGTCATTTCAACTCTCAAGATTTGCTCCACCTTCGCTGGAAGCGACTTCTCTACATCTTTCTTAACTCTTCTTAATATGAACGGCTCCAACTGTTTGTGAAGTTTGAAATAACCTTTTGTAGCTGCGTTATCATGCTCCACATCAAAATTCTCCCAATTCTCAAATTTGTCCGGCATGATGAAGTGCAATAGAGCCCACAATTCTTTCAAACTGTTCTGCAGAGGCGTGCCAGTTATGAGTAATCGATGATTAGTGTCAAATTCCATTAGAGCTTTATATAAAAGCGAATCATCATTCTTAAGTCTATGTGCTTCATCGACCAATAAGACAGCCCAACTTAGACTTCCTAAAAATGCTTTATCTTTTAACACGATTTCGTACGTAGTAAGAATCGCGTTAAACTTCAGTCTTTTAGAACCTTCGTAACTCCATTCATACTGTCTAAGCTATATATGGAGAAAAGTGTATTTCATCAGTAAACTAGTTGTAGTGTTTAAATATCGTGTGACTTACTATATTCCTGGAATTTACATCCCCTAAGTATGTGACGAAGTTCATCTCCGGCGCCCACTGGGCAAATTCACGTTGCCAGGAAGTCATTGTCGACAAAGGGACCACACACAAGAAAGGCCCATGTACTTGGTATGTGTTAAATAAATAATATAGAAAACATATTGTCTAGACAAGAGAAGTCAATCCGTTAGAAGCATTTCCTTTCACAAGACTACACTGAAAAACACGATGCTTACCTGAATGGTTTTACCCAATCCCATCTCGTCAGCAAGGATAACAGAGTTTTCCTTCGTCCAGGAATGAATCAGCCAATTCAAGCCATCCATCTGATAATCTCTGAGAACCAAATTCTGCAAAATATAAAACATAGTTGTTTAACTTATAGCAATTGCATAGATCATGTTGCATTGACGTTTGAGCCAATTGCAAATGTCGGAAGCCAGTAGACGGCTTGCAAGTGCTCAGTACAGTTAGTGATGGATAGTTATGTGTTTGTCACTGTGGAATGATGCCAGTCTTATCGGAAATTGATACACCAAGAATATACAACAAACCGTAAGTACCATTTCTGTATTAATCTAACAAAATGTACTCTTGCAAAAAGATAACCTTAATTTCCATATTATTGCAATGACTTAAGCTGTAAGTAAGCTTATGTTTCAGCTGTTATCATTTTTCACAAGTACAGTATAAGTAATATAAGGTAAATAAAAAAAGAACAAATAATAAATTTATTTATTTCAATTCAATTATCTAAGAAACAAACAATTTCATATCGTTTCATATCAGTCTTCAATTTTCATTGTTTAATGATTGTATAGCAATGAACCATTTCATATGTTATATCCACTATAGATAGAAACATTTGAAAATGATTATTTTATATTTAATGTCCCTTATTTCCCTCATTTCATGCTGTAATTATTGTAAGTTCATATAGCTATGACATTGGTATATCCTCCAAGACACTGACAGGTATCATAAGATCGTTTGTTTTAGAATATTTACTGGACGGAATACGTGAATTTGATACTTATCATCAACATTGTATATGTTCAATCCAAGTAGTATTCTTTTCGTTATCCAATTACAATATTTATCGTGAAACATATTAAGTTAAGATCATGGCATTAAATTATCACCGATGAATATTAACCAAAACAATAATATACTTGAGATTATATTTTATCAATATTGAAATAATCATGCAGCAACTATTGGCGTATGTATGTAAATAACCAATTTAGTTAAAATTATTGATCAAAAATCAGAAAATATAACTTTCAGATGAAAATACCGGAAAGCAATTTTAATATATCGGTGACAATCGCAATCCCGACTACCATAATCCCGACATTCAAAATCCCGACAGTGTCTTTTATTATTATAAAGTTCTACAATAACATTTTTATGGTAGTCGGGATTTCGATATAGTCTGGATTGTCGGGATTTTGTTTGTCGGGATTTTGACATAGTCGGGACCTTAATTCAGTCGGGATTTCAAACGTCGTGATTTCAATAGACGGTCTTTCGGTTGTCGGGCTTGCGATATAGACCCGTAAAATATCCATAAAAAAAATTGTCTCTATGTTATAAGTTTACATTACTAAATTTGTTATGTAATCTCTTTTATGATTATAATAGACGCAATGCAGTCAATTTTCAGATTGTGTTAAGTAATCAAATGATTATACTTTTGCGTATATAACGGAGATATTTTATGCTATAGCTAATGAATTATTACTTTTTGTAACTACGATTGAATAACATGCATTAATTATCATATTGGGGATGTCATTAAATTATAAAACAGTCAATGAAGCTACAACACAAGTGCTTTGAGCATATTATACTTGTGTAGGTTAAAAAAAAATGATATAGGTATAGAAATATGTTTACCCCTTCGGTTCCTTTCATGTAATCGGGCTGTTCCTTGATCTCATGGAACTTTGGGCGATGCCTAAGAGCTTTGCAATGTTTACTGGGCGTCCTCTTGGACTCCTCCCTATCCATAAACTCTCTTATTTTCTTTGGCCACTTTTTCTGAATCAGAGCTGAATCCTCCCATGTTGCTTCTGAATAAGGTAAACACTCCCATTTGACGAAGTAGTCTTTACCACTGTCAGGTCTGTTATATTTTGCAATGATCCTTTCAACATTATTGTAACTATTTAACAAACCCTGACCCAACTCAAGTTGACATTCATAATATTCGATATCCTCAGGGGTGGCATATCTACGCCATTGTGAAAGTTCAGTTTCTTTCTTGATAAAATTTTCCAATTTTTTAATTCCTTTGACCTTTTGTTCCTTTAACGAACCCTCGGATTCCCAAGTGTTGTGTATATGAGCCCAGTCTTTCCATTTAATCAAATATTGATGTTCTAAACTGTCCTCATCAAGACCATATATGTCGTTTGAATCACCGTTTTCCTCAACGGCGTATACTGTTGTGATGTTCCCAACAACTAAACAAAAAATAAATGCGAAAAATCAGAATCCAGACCACGCGATCGACCGTTGACATTCAAAAATAAACAAACCTCCTTTCTTTCCAGTTCTTTGCGCTAAAACTCGTTCAATAGTTTCGGATTTGTCTTCGGGAATAGGCTCCGGGTTCTCAACGGCTTCTACTTCCAGTAAATCTTCAGAATCGGTCTTTTCCTCCTCACTAGCTTCTTTGTAACTAACTGTCGCAGCCGTCCTTCTGGTAGCTGTTCTCCGTCTATCATCATCGTCTTCTTCTGATGATTCCTCGCTACTGTATTGAGATCGCGTACTTTTTTTGCTTGCCGCAGCTCTAACATTTTTAGACTTTGCGGGTTGCTTTGAACCTACCCTTTTACTAGGTGGTGGCCTTTCTTGTGTGTCTGACTCGCTATCTGAAGAACTCGCGTCATTGTATCGGAAGTCATCACTGGAAAATGCAAAAATAAAAATAAAAGGAAGAAATAAAAAATAAGCGCTTTTAATTTATTTCAAATTATAAACGTACAATACAAAAAATTACGAAAAACAAAATAATAATAATTTAAATGACTTGATTAATAAGCACCTGTTCTTTTCTGCAACTTTTGCTCTACTACTCCTTCTTGAGCCACTATCACTGTCATCATCATCATCATCTTCCTCCTCTTCCTCATTATTCCCTTGAGAGACTTCCTCTGGTTGCCACTGAAAATCAATGTTTTTGTTTTTTTTTGTATAAATATTGTGAAAACACAATTAAAAAAATATTACTTCATCATTTGTTTTGTCCTGAGAAGCTTCATTTTCATCATTTGCATCATCATTTTTATTGTTATCTGATGAACTGCTAGAACTGGAACTTCCTGAATCACTAATGAAGGAAACAAATAAAAGTTGAAAAGAAAAAAGTAATAAGAAAACATCTTGTTGTTAGGTTTACCTGTCAGATCCAGAATTTGATGATGAGCTTCTGCTTTCATTGTCAGAACCACCCACCTCTACTTCATTATCAGAATTCTCTGAATCTGATCCACTCTATAAATATTTTAAAAAGAAATGAATGCATAAGATTTTAAAAAAATGTATAAAATAATGAAGGAATTTCTAATACTGGTTAAAAAAAAATTTATTGGTGGTGGTTAGTAATTATTTATTAACTGTTGAGGGTAATATTATAAAGGATAGGGTATTTAGATGAATTGCTAATGAATATAATTGATTTTCAGGCAGGCTGAGATGGACTGAAGGACCTGGAGATGAATCTGTGTGGATACCTGTGATCAGGGGTAAATTTCAAAGTATATTTTAGCAAATTCATGAATGGTAATGGGGCGATTTTTGTAGGAAATATACACGAATGTAAAATAGGGACCTGGAGGGAAGGTATAAGGTGGAAAACGGCGGAAAAGGAGCAGAAAGCAGCAAGGAAACCTGTAGGTTCTATTGGGGAGCAAAGTAAAGCTTTAAAGAGCAAACTTTGAGGTAAAATTGCGAAAATGGGTACATCATGAAAATGAAAAATTCCTGCCTTATGGTGTGCAGCAAAGTCTGTAGAATGCGTAGGAATTGAGAAAAACGTGGAACACTGCTTTCTTGGGGTCGAAAGGGCCCCAGAACTGATTGTAAACAATAAAATTTCAACAGAAATTGCTTGGTTCGCCAGAGGTTTCAGAGCCACGCCCTTGGTTTCACAATGAAATGGTGGCTAGAGGGATGAATGGAGAGGTGAAGGACGTGGGGCTGATGGATATTTAGCGAAGAAAACGACGAATTCGAAGAGTTTACTTACCTCAGACATGTTGTGCGATCGTGTTTAGCCCTAACGCGTACAATCTTTACATGCAACGGATTATGTAACTGACTGGTATTGCAGAAGAATCTTCCCTTAAATTAAACATTACTTTGAAATTGTAACGATAATTGAAGAAGTATCGCGGGGGCGATTGTTTGGAAAGGGTCGCGTTCGGTGATCAGCAAGTGCGTTCACGCCATTTTGTAATGGGATGAAAACGTACAGAATCCCGACACAATATTGCCAGAACAATCGAGGATGCCGTAAATTCACTAGATGAAAACCCAATAAATTTCTTCTTCAGCTGCACTATCACAAGATTTTTTTCGGACGACCGTTAGGGGTTATATCACTCTAATATTGATACCATCGTAATCACAAAAAGTATGCCATCTTGACTTTCTTTTCTCAATCGACGGCATAGCCAAATGGTGGCGCACGAGGGGGCCCGAGAGAAAGGGACCGGACGGGTCGTTTAGAGGTGAAGTGGGGATAGTTGTGACGTCAGAGCTGATCCATCCTATGTAAAGGATCCGTAAGATCTAGAATTGCTAGATGACGGTGCGGAACGATTGGCGCCGTCGCACTCCGCAGCATCATGTGTCCGAGGGAGAAGGATACCTCCGCACCGCACTTTGGCCGCGATCGACGCAAACGTAGCCACCTCCGCCGCCACCGTTCGCTTCCGTTTCCGCCGTCCCCAGAAAATCCGGGAGTTTCAAATTACACCGCACTTGTATAACACGCGAAAAATAAAACAACTTAGTTGTATTTGTATGTATAATGATACTCATTATTATATAAACATAATAATAATAGTAATACAATCGGCACAGAGTAATCACAAATATTCCACCAAGAAAAATAAAAATGTTTACCTTAGATAGAGTGAACGAGAGACAGATAAAAATCGCGCAAATTTCATCAGGACATACAAAAATATACACAAATTGCATTACATAAATATTACAACAAATTCAATTTGATACTGTACACACATATCGAATCTTCTCCATTATCACAATAATTATACAAACTTTAAGGATAATTCATTTAAGCTAATTTAAGAAGCGATTTTGTCAACATATTCATTTCATTATTTACTAAGCCATGAAACTGACCTGAAAATCTGTATAATGTTTATTTATATATATATTATAACATTGTTAATAAATAATGAACATATTTAAACAAAAATTGATTTAAAAACGACTTTTGTCATATTCATTTCCTTATTTAATTATACATGAAACTGTATTAAATATTTAGCAGAGTTTTGAAAGAAAATAAAAAAAATGTTTATAAAATTGAGATTTTAGGCGAAAAAAATATTTTCATCCTTCCAACAAGGATTTGTATAAAAAAATTTGAATTGTAAAAATATTAAACAATTTCTTTAGTTATGGTCAATAAACCGGTTGAATATACTAATACATCTTCATTCTTGCCGCAAATTGGTCGCAGATGTATTTGTTTATTTATTTTTTTTTAAATTGTTTATAATTAAAATAAAAACAAAACTTTATTTGTATTAAGCGCAAATATTACGTATTAATTGGTTAATAGTACAAACTACGCGTTACTTGTCAAGTGTCGCGTAGTATTCATGGATAACTCAGTAAATTAAATTTGTTGCCTTGTGAAAATATATCGTACAACATATACTATTGTATAAATTGTCAAGTACATTTATTTATATTGTATCCGAGGCGTTTGTAATAATAGACAAATAAATTAAATGATTTTTTATAAGAACGTTTGATCTGGAAGAGTTCCAGTCTTGAAGACCAATACGCTCGAACGACTTGTCTTGTCAAAGAAAACCGTTGTCTTAGTCGCAAAGCGTTGTTTAGAGCAATCAAAAACAAAAGTAAAATAATAAAAATAAAAGAAAACTGACTTTAATTCATCCTAAGAACAGGGCTCCTCAACACTAGGGCACTTTCAGCTGAAATAATGGGCAACGAGTTTTCGCAGTGGAAGTCGATCAGGTGGCTAATACTATGGAACATTCGATCCTTGGTGCGAACCTGAAAGCACAAGAGAAGACAAGACCGGTAATTCCAGAGGGGTGAGCTTCCACGTGTGTTAAGTTTGATTTACCACTCCTTCGGGATCGATCAGTAACAAGTGTTTTTTCATGTTATCTTGCATCCCTGACAACACATATTGCCCCTTTGTGTTTGGTGATTCGCGCACTAAGAAATCACCATCTTTCAGAAGTCTTTTCTCTGCTTCACCTCTGCTGATTTGTCCATGGTACCAGATCTCATTTACCAAATCGTTTCCTTGCACAGGCATATGATGATGATGATGTGTGAATGGTTCTGTAAAGGATAAAAATACATACAAATTATTTTTTAAATAAAATTAATAATGCTTTTGTTGTCCACCAAATATAATTATAAATAGAGGCAAATTATCATGTATCTCAATTTACAAAAATAGATAAACTGTAATTTAATATGTCTGTATGGTATAAAGCAGACGTGGACAGACTTTTTGCAGCTAAACTTTTTGGTATAATAATTTTTTTTAAATCACAATATAAAATATATATAATATTTGTGTTTTGTGGCTCAACTAGCCACAACAAGACTCTTGAAGAGCCGCTTGCGGCTCGCGAGCCACAGTTTGGCCATCCCTGGTATAAAATATATTTCCTAATTCCAAAAATGTAGCTTTAAAAATATCCATAAATTAAAACATGTCATTACAATTTTTTTTAAATAAAACAAATTTATTTCATAATATATTGTCTTCAAAAATAAATTTGTTTAGCATTAAAAATGAATTAATTTACGTCCAATAAATCAAATATATGTACAAAAAGTATTAAATATAAACTAAAATATTTATTTTGTAATTTTTTATATTATATTTATTGTTTTGATAATAAAAACAAATGATTCGCATTACTAAATTTACATTTTCAATCAAAATGAGTTTATTTACAAAATTTCTTCTAAAAAAAGATAATTGTAAATAGATTAGTTATTTATTTTTATTTTAAATATAGAAATTTTTGATAATTTTAAATAATTTATGAAAATCAGTAATAAATTCATAATTTTAATTAAGTTAAATTAAATATTAAAATGGAACCCCAAAGCGAACGTAACCTAAATTTGCGAAAAAATTCAAATCCAACAATATTTAATTGTCCTATAAAAAACCTAGTTGTTTAATAATTTGGATTAAATAAATATATATTTAGATAACGTGGAAACTTGTTGATGTAATATGATGCGTAGTAAAATCAATAATAATGTTGAGATTGCCGCGTGTTATTGCTGAGATTCAAATTACATTTCCGGTATAAATAAAAAAAAACTATTTATTTTTAGGGATTAATTATTAGAAATATTTGCAGAAATTAGTAAAATATATTAAAAATATATTTGTAAATGGTTATGAATAAAGCAAAATGGCGGAGATGCTAGAAGCCATTTTATTATGCGTCTAATATTAGAAATAATATAATTATACCTGTATAAAAATAAAGTGTTTTACTTAAATTATATGAAAAATTCTTTATTCATATTTCAAAATATTTACATTCCTTTTGCACTTTATAAAGCTATAACCGTCTATTGAAATCCCGACTACCATAATCCCGACAATCAAAATCTCGACTACATCGAAATCCCGACTGCCATAAAAATGTTATTGTAGAAATTTATAATAATAAAAGACACTGTCGGGATTACGATATAGTCGGGATTATGGTAGTCGGGATAAACTGAATGTGCAATAGTTCATTCTTGTTTCAAATTTAAAGTGATTTTAGAAATATGACTGTTACATGAATCCCATAAATTTGTGTAAGATTCTTGAAAATCTATTTTATTAGACTTGTTTTTCTTTTCATCTTGCCCCGAAGGTCAATGTATAATTTTACTTATTCTGCGTTTCGCAACAAGTTTTATTGTTATCGCAGACACATTTAGATAATCTGCACAGTTGCAGCTGTCGTAGACATACGTCGAGAAAACAGATCGGAGGTCGCACAAGCGAAACATAAGAAAATCAATACAGATTAGTTGTTTGTTATGAATCAACGTACAAGATATGATTCCATTTGTTAATCGAAAATCTTTGCGTGTGTTAAATAAGCATATTAATAGTAGTGGTTAATTTAAATGAAATTATTATTCGCTTACGCATATCGAAAACGTCGCGTTCTCTGGACGATGTTATACAATCGTTGACATAATCGTGCCTAGTGTCTTGCAGTGGTTCTGAATTAAGATCAATAAGATTTGGACTTTGTACTAGAGGCAGTGTGTTTAAGGGAGGAACGACGGTTGGGAGTGGTGGGACAGGTGGAGGACCGCAATCCGGCGGCACCTTGCCTGGGAGATCGTTGTAGTAATCTTTGTCGGCATCACCACCGCTGGAAGTAGCGGTATGACTAAGGGAGAGGGCCGGCTTCATATACTGCTTGTACCTCAACTCAAAGGCTTGACCTATAGTTGATATGACATCCTTGGCCAAGCCTCCACCACATTCTAGCACATAGCAAGCTCTCCAATCATTTGTGTCTTTAGCTATATAAGCAACAAAATCTAGAGTGTCCTGAAAATAATAAATAAATCATAATAAATCTACTGTTGATCTGCACACAGCATATCGAAAGGTTTACCAAGTCCCCTCCAGATGCAAAAGATATCCGAGGCATGTCATGACAAGCTATCACTGAACCAGTTTCAAGGCTTGTTAATGTTAAATTGGTGCTGGATATATTCAAATTAACATTTGTGCCTGCAGAAAGCATTTTTGGTTTCTCGGCAATCGCTGTTAACACCTTTTTATCAATCCTCTGCTTCTTATCTGCAGTTTTCAAGCCAGCAGTCTCACAAACACGACTTATGCAAACCCTATAAAGCCAAATTTATTAAAAGCAATTACATACTATGATATATCTTACTTGGCAACATTCGATCTAGTCTGGAAATCTAATACTCTCATTGACACAACCACCTCCAAACAACCAATGTACTAAAAATGATTACAAAAGTTAAATGATGATTATTATTATTTTTTTGGTGTTAATTGTATGGCTTACTCTGACAGCATATGAAGCTCCCTGCCTGGAGATCACCTTGTCTGAATGGATCCATCCACTTAGAGGTTTGCTGATGAAGCCAGACATGTTTCCTTTTACTTGCTGACACAACTATGAATCATATAGTCTGTGATTCTCCCCTTTCTAATGGAATGTCTAATCGTTATACGCCCGTATATATTGGTATACAGAGGATATAAAGATCATTAACAATATGTTTGTGATATAATACAGGAAATATGACTTCCTTCTACCATAATTCAGCAGACCCTCGTCAGGTTCGCACTAATTAAAACGTATGATGTCGACTATCGATCGCCCTCCTCTAGCATCTTATCAATGAAATATAAATATTATAAAACACATAAATATCAAATTCCCACTGAACCCTGCATCATCAAAAGCTCGTTGGACAACTGTCAGAATAGCGCCATCTTAATCGAAGTAGTTACATCTTATAGGCCAGTGATTCTCAAAGAATTGTTAAGAAAATCCTATTCACTTTTTTTCCAATTTCTACAGCTCGTAGCAGGCATACATATTTGAAACTTTTAGTTTACTGTGCTAAAAAATATTTCTTTCGCTTTCGTTTGCTATAAAATAATTGAGTTTTGGTCAATTAATAAGAAAGTTATTAAGCTTTAATGAGTTGGCGGTTTTTGAGATTCAAAAAAATCTGTGGTAATGATCAAGAAAAAGTCTGCAACCACAAATACATATGCCTATTATGAACTATTTCTTGCAAATTCCGACAGATGTTGCTGCTTGTAATAATAAAAATGCATATAACTCGAAAAATAATTAGCATTAAAGCAATGGTGTCCTCATAATTGATTAACAAACTTTGGTATTTCACAAATGATAGGCTATGCCAATAGGGTATTCAGCTTTCATATGAGTAGTCAATGATGTAATTATCTTAAGGGGTTGTGGAGAAATTCAGGAATAACTGCAAAAAATCGAAAAAAAACGTCTTTTCTCTGTAACGTAACGAACATTACGTAACTTTAGTTACACAAATAGTTGCGCAACGCTTATATGCATGTGATTATGCAATAAAATCAAAAAAAGTTCATTAGTTTTCGAGTTATTAACAAAAAAACAGCTCATAGCAAGCGACTCGGCTATAGTACGAAGATGCCAGTAGGCTTGTTGGACAGGTAAGACATTCAGCTTTCATACGAGTGGTCTATTATATAATTATCTTGAGTTGTCGAGAAATACAGATCATTATCCAAGCCGTTGTTTTCCTATTTGTTTTTCAAAATGTGTATGTTTGGTTGCAGACTGTTTCCTGAATATTCCGAAAGATGTCTATACTTCAGTAAATTAAATCGCATAAAACTCGAAAAGTAATGAGCATTTAAATTATTATATTGAAGTAATAACATAAGATTCATTCAAGCACTATTCCTATATGTTTGTTTATTAAAATTAGAACGTTTCTAAGGAAGTGGATTTTGTGCAGCGCCAAAATGCTTGAACTACAACCTTTGTTATATTACTAACAGATGGCGCCAGCTGTCACAAAAAATGGAAAATATATTACGCGCCTAAAGTACAGGCAACCAAACATACATATACAATTTGCTGAACAATTAGGAAAACAACGACTTAGATAATGGCCTTTATTTTCGTAAACTTTAGCTCCCAGAAGAATTTTATAAATGGATGTTGATCTTGAATATAGACGGATTAAAATGAGTATAAATGTTAATTTGTAGCTGAAATGGTGTCCTCGTAATTGATTAACAAACTTTGGTATTTCACAAATGAGTTGGGGAAATAGCGTCTTCGAAAATGGCCTGAATTTTCGTATACACCATCTCTCAGAAGATTTTTGGACATTAA